CACCTTCGAGGAGGCGTCTATTTTGTCGATTCGTTGCCAACAACTCTTTCTGGGAAAATTCTGAGAAGAAAGGTTAAGGAAACGGCCATCGAATTATTCAAAGAACACAGTGGCTAACTTTATTATAGTTGCTTAATATTTATGGGATATTTAACTGTCAACAAATGAATGTTAAATATTCTTAGAAGTTCTAACCTATTTTGGTTCAAAATTTATATTATTCCGAAAAACTAAAACAGACAGCTTTGAGTCTCATCTAAATAAAAAGATCTATTTGATAATATATGTAAAATGTTATATATGTAGCATTAGAGTGCTCTTTCTTACGAATTGTAATTGACTAAAGTCGATAGATCAGTATCTATATATATATAACTGAATGTTCGTCTGTGTGTGTGTGTGTGTGTGTGTATGTGGCCAGTTATCTCTTATGTTTTTAATTCATGGATTTATTGTTATACTTTCCGTTTGATTTCGCGCGGCCTCACCTAGGATCTTATAAATGCAGTTTTGGTTTTCAAATTAAATTTTCAAGAGTTTGACGAAATTTTTTTTTTCATTGTTTTTCCATACAATGTACATTAATGTGGATTGATGGCAATGAAATATTAATTGCGTAAAAGAGATTTGATTTCATTTAAAAATAAATAAATTGAAAAAATTAATACTTCGCATCAGGACAAACCATACATGAGTGAAATTTGTTTTGAATGAAAGATACTTAAAATGGATAGAAGACACACGTAGATTGGCTTTATATAAAGTAGCTTGGAAGCGAATTGTTCGATTTAAAAACGACCAGACACAGAAAGGTATTAATGGTTTCTAAATGTTTATTGTTGTTATCACGTCACGACAATGTACTCATTTTGAAATAAAGAGAAAATAATAAAAAAAAAATCATGAAAAATTCTATGCAATATGGAACGTTCTGTAGATTAAAGGTTATGGCTTGAATTTCATTCATTTGATGTACTGTCCATATGTGCACCAGTCTCGATGAACGGCCTATCACTTTATTGTACAATATCCAATCAACAGTCAAAAATAGTTTCACAGCTGGAAGAATTTTAAAAGTGCCTTTCTAATTATTTGAAAAAATCTTAAATTGTATTTTCGAACTACATGCATGACCTTATGCATTCTGAGTATTAAATAGGCTTGCTGCTAAGCCATTCTGTCGCGCACCTTTGGTTTTAATCCAATTTCTAGGAAAATACGCTATTAGGTATATATAATCACCTAGACTCTCTGTAATGACATCGCAGTCTTTGTTAAGTTTGGTAGGAAGTATCACAATGAATTCCATCAATAAGCGGGCCCAATAAATGCGCCATCGCTTTATTTGCACTGATGTCCAGTGGAGCATACGTTTAATATCAACCATATTTTCTGCCAAAGCAAATAAAACGGGGCATCTCGTTTAGCCAATTTCTCAAATGAGTTCACTTTCAAACGGTTGTCCAGAAGCGAATGCATTGAATAATCGGTCAGATAAATTAAAAAAAAAAGAAAAATGCGGTGACCAATGCGGCAGAAAAGAACAATTTTTCCCGTCCAATTCGAACACACAAGCAATATTCCCCAGTTTCTCGTGCAAATTGCTTGTGTGAATATATTTCGAAAAAACAATACAAACAACTTTCTCGTTCAAGACCAGCATGACGTCTCACGAAGAATAAAATGATTGCGCCCACAAAAAGTACTATGCATAGAATCCAAAAGTTTACACTTTCCCAAAAACGAGATGCAACGAAACTGTTATTATAACTTATGTGTCCGAGGATAATCGATATCTACATAAAAAAAAAAAAAAATCTATCTAAATAAAAATCACTTTAATTGCCAAACTAGGAACAGAAGATTTAATTGACAAAACTTGTTTTCGCCATATTTCTGGTTCTAGAATTTTTGAAGCCGATCTGGCATAAAGTTCAACCGTAGATTCGGAAGGAATACTGCAAAAACTTTGAATTATAAAGACTTAAAAACTCGTGGAAAATGTGTCTATCACACTCACTTTTCAGCATCGGAAACTTATTCATAATTGAAAGAGTTGTATGTGATCTCGATTATGATTTAAAATAATAAATTAGATTCAATAAAATGAAATGAACAAGAGATTTTATATACATAATCGATTGAAACCATAGTTAGACACCAAATTCATTCGAGCCCAAAAGGTATGGGTTATACCTTAAACACACTGGTCAAAGTATTCATCACAATGAGTGGGTGGGGACTCGAAGGCACTTGGAACTTTTTTTGCAGAAAGACTTTATGAAAGACAAAGATGGTGATTGGCTGTTTGTGAATGTGCCTTGCACATATTTTGGCTGTAGATTTGCTGCATCTAGAGCAGTGCTGTCCAACCTATTGGCCACTTGGCCACTTGTGGCCAACCGAAAATTTAAGTGGCCAACAGAAGATTTTGATACCTTTTTATAATAATTCTAGTTTTTTTTCAGTAAATGATTTGAACCGATTTTCAGATTTCAAAAAATTTCAATTGGAATTCAAATTTCTGAAAAATCCATTCATTTTTGATCAGAATAATATTCAAAATTTATCAGATCTTTTCGGTACGAAGAAGACTCATTTGGAATTTGATATTTCGTTGATAAATGAAGAAATTGGTTTGCCAAATGAAACAAGTAATGCATTATGGAAAAGTTTGCTATCTGAATGCAATTTCTTAGTACTCAAAGACGTTGTGCCAAAATTTCTTTGCATGTTCGGGTCCACATACGTTTGTGAGGCTTCATTCTCCAGTCTCACACGTCGTAAGAATAAACATTGTAATGCACTCTCGCAAGGAAATTTGGAATCCAACTTCATTGTGAACTAACCCAATCGATGCTTGACTTGAATAAACTCACAGATAATAAAAAATGTCAACCATCGTATTAATGGAAGAAAATAAATAAACAAACAAACAACTTTTGTGGCCAACGTACAAAATAGGTTGAACAGCACTGATCTAGAGGTTATTTCAATAGTCATTTCGAATGCCCTAATACCGTGTATGTTCGGCTAAGCGTGTGACTTTTGACTGGTATTGCGTAATTTTGCATGCCGTAATACAGATTATTTGCATTCCTTGATTGTTCTTAAAGCGTGTGTTTTTGAATTGAAAAGCAAAACATTTATTGTGTCCAATTAAAATGTGAATTTGGTTTGCGTACATTTTCTTCAAAGTATCTTAAATTCATGTGTGTGTAGTACAACTAAGTGCGATCATTTAGAATTCATGTATCAGTGCAAAAAAATTATAGCGAAAACAGTACCGTGTTAAGCACATCCTTTTCCGTAGTAATAGTCAACGAATTTTATTAATGGAATTCAATTACAACGTAGAAAGATCAAAAATTTATGACATTTATAAAACTGTTTCCATTTATTTTCGATATTATCAAAATGTTTTCACAATATCATAGTCTTCATATTTAAATCTAAATAAATCATCAAATTTCACAAACAATAATATCACATTCTTAAATGAATAATCGAACAATAATTTCTATCAAAATTTTATAAACGATTTACCGTTGTGAATATTTTCAAATTGGATGTATTTAAAAAGCGGCAAAAAAGAACTACCATACCCGCCTCAGATTGACTCATTCATTACCCAGAAATCTTTGGTTCAAAATGGATTTGCACGGTCTAACTTGGTAATTTTCCTATAAGTTTCCACTCTGTATATGGAATTGTCGGTGTCGTGATGAATTATAGAAAATTTCACTCGTGGAAAAGTATTGGAAATTTCTGTAACGAGATCATTATTTACTTGATCACGATCGTCCAATATCTGAATTTCTTCGAGATGTTTACAGTTCAATTTGATGTGTCGCAACATTCGACGCAAATCATCTGTGTCAAAGTGGCAGTCAAAACTTAGCAACAGTTTAACCAACTTCGTGCATGATTCAAACAAATACTTTGTATTTGTTATTACAATTTTAGGGAGTAAAAAGTTGAGTGTGGTTAAATTTCTGAATCGTGTAATCATGTACACAATTCTCTGTTCAATATCAGCTGTTCTTGACTCATGTTCAACTTCAAATGATTGAATCTGATCACAAACTTTTTCGTTCAGAGCATATAGAATTGTTTCAATGTTTTTGCTAAAGTTGGTGAGTCTGATGCTTTTCAATTGATTAAGAGAGATTCCATAGTTAGATGCTTTGGTTGGCAGTGTGATTTTTCCACTGTTAAATTCGAGATGAGCGAGTTTTGGACATTCCATCGGTGGAAAAATGTGAGAACGGCTTGCGACCAGTGACATAATTTTGAGCGTTTTTAAATTCGGAAATTCTGGCTTCGAACTGTTTTCCATTGCATTAACCCTGACATTGTTCAAGCACAACTCAATTATTCCTATGCTATATTTTCTACTAACTAACTTCCAAATCTCGCTCATCTCTATGCGATTGTTTTTATTCATGTCGATTGATAATTTGGTCATGTGTTCGCCAAAACGGTTTAATGTATCTTCGGCACTATCAAAAGTATGAACCGTGAACAGTTGCGCCTTGATTCGATCTTGCATCGCTGCCTTTGTTCGGGTGCACGTCTCGTACAAAGCTCGTTCACTCTGTTCGTCCAAGTATGAGTATATCTTTCCCAAACATTTGTCACCAAGGTCCAAGAAATGCACTATTTGGCTATTTGACGCTTCACACCTACTGGCTATCCAACGAAGTAGTTTTCCATTTCTGATTATTTGTTCACTTGTAATTGTTATTGTTTCACTCGTGGTTCTGTTAGCATCTGTAATCGGTTGAATGACCTCAAACTTTACGCCATCGCCACGATTTCGAGTAATGCCGACGAATTTCCGATGAAAGTGCGAATCAAATTGCTCGGCTCTGATGACATAATATTCACTCTCAAGCAATAACTCCTTCAGATGTTTGCATGTTGTGAACAGGTATAGTACGTCGATTGAGGAGATTTCATTAAGTCGCACACCATCCACTTTCAATGAAACCAATTGCGGCAAGTGTTGAGCAACATCTCCGACTCCATTGATTGTTAAATCGAAATGTTCCAGGTGCAGAGAAGTTAGACCACCAAAAAGTTGGATAATCTCATTAAGTTGATTGTGTGCGATATCCTCTTCATCTTCATCTTCACAGAACCACACCTTCAAATGTTTAATATTTTTGCTTCCTCTTGCGATTGCTTCTAGAACCTTTTTCATCGATGTCGCGGAAACAGCTATTTTTAGCGATTCCAATTGTTCCAATTCGACATCGCGGCAATTATTTTCGAAATCATTTTCATCAGACTCATATTCGAGGGATTTCAGTGTTTTCATTTTGGTTCGCAGAGCTTGAATCACTTTCAATGGAAATTTCCGGCAGTCAAATATTCGTAAATGTTTTAGCTGTGGATTTATGTACACGAATCGCTTTAGCACCTCAACATCAACACAAGAGACTCCTTCCATGGAAAAATATGTCAGTCGCGGATAGTGTATATCAGCCCAATAAAAGTTTAAGGAGGATAAATATTTCAATGTAAGTCTAGTTAATGACTGCATTGAGCGAATCATGTGGGTCAATTGGAATGACTCGCTATCACATTTGATGATGACATATTTTGTAGAACGACAATGTTGACCGATCAGTGTTATGAGTTTATGTCGATTTGATGATTCTTCTGCATTAAGTTTGATTGCTGCTATTTCATTGCCAAAAGTTTCTATAATCTTTCGATGTAACCTTTGATCATATTTGCTATTATCAGGGTACAACTTAATTTCGTAGTATTTCTCGTCCGTTTTACCGTTATATCGTTCTGCGAATACATCCTTTGCGATCACTTCAAAACGCTTACAAACTGCTGCCACATTCAGCAAATCGATTTCGTTGAAATTGGAGAAAATTCTGAGCAAAACTTCGTCCGATAAATCCAACAATTTATTATTTGGATGTTCCATTTTTAGAACACTTGAATCGACATAAAAAACACTTTGAATTGAACAACGAAATCAAACCGGTCGACAGATTGTTGTGAAATTCAAACGCAGCCTCCCTTATCGGTGTGCACCGCTAAACAATCGGCCGATGAGTCAGTGGTTTTCCAATAACTAACTTTGGAACTCTGAAAAAAGAAACAAAACAGAAATTATTCAACTTGGTAGTCATTGAACACACTTCATATTTAATTTCATTCTTTGGAATATTGATTTTAAGAACTTTTTCTCCACATACATTCACTCTTAGTTTGAAAACACAAAATAAAGCTAAAATGTTCAAGCAAAACAAAATATATCGAATTTACGTCTTAGCACTCGAGCAGCTGTGTTATTACTGGCTAGCCTGAGTTGTTTTCTGCTACTAGTGAACACATTGTCGGCATGTGTCAGACGCTGAATAAGCTCTGTGACAGCGCCTCTGTCGCACACACATACATATAACGCAAAAGTTGATGTTGTTTTGTTGATAAACAGAATTTCACAACATTTTAACGCACGGTCTCGATGCGTGCTTGCCGCATATTTTTTCGCCGTATGCATTTTTCAGCGAATTTTGTGACGTCACTGACGTAGTTTGTTGATGTAATTTGTTTCTTTTGATGCATGTTTATTGGTGTGATTAATGTAGGATGTGTATAGGTCAGATATGACGTATATATACGTTTATACTGTATGCATACGTAAACTACAAATAACAACAGAGCGCATTTAGGATTCATTCTTATAAACAAATTTATAGGTTTTCCTACAATCTTAGAACCAGTTTTGTGTTTTGTATTTATTTACTTGCATTTAAATGATGTCAGCCAATCTCCAGTATTCTGAAATAATTTAAATTAAAAAAAAACAACACATTTTTCCGTGAAATTTCGTCATGTTTTTATTTAGGAAATAAATTCTTTGGTGTCAAGAAAAAGTTAAAAAATTTTTGTTTTTCCTTCTTTTTTACTCCCTAAAGGGACTACAAAAGTGTGTACATTTCATACAATATTGTTGCTTCATATTATTGAATTATCGTTGAATCACTTAATATAACATAAAAAAAATATTGATTAGTATGGCTTCTTACGATCTAAATCAGTCACTTTTCGAAACGTTTCAATTCTATACGTTTCATTCGTGTACATAATTAAATTCAACGTGACATTTGGTAATGAATCGACAATTTCAATCAAAACCTTATGTCCAAATGGTGACGTATAATCCCGGAATAATTGAATCACTTTCAATTGTTTGCAATTCTCTTTAATGTACTGTATTATTTTGCGCCACTCATCAATTTCGTACGTATAACCAAATCCCAAAGTGAGTTCCACTAATTTGGTGCAAGTAAAAAAGAGGTGTTTTGGATTGGCCGTTTCGATTTTTTCTATGGTTAAATGTAACGTGGTGAGATTTCGGAATCGCGAGGCAATGCTTATCATTTTATCGTAAGCCGCCTGAGTCTTTTCCGATGTAAGTACCGTAAACATTTGCAGCTGATCACAGATGTTTTCATCTAAAGTATGAAGGATTTTTTCGATGTTATCACTAAAGTGGCTGAGTTTGATGGTTGTCAAGTGGTCGAGGGAGGCTCCAATACTTTTAGCGTTGGATGAAAGAGTAATTTTTCCATTGTGAAATTCGAGGTGAGTTAGTTTTGGGCATTCCATGGGTGGGAAAATATGGACACACTTTGAGCTCATGGACATAACTTTTAGTTTCGTTAAATTTGGAAATTTCGTCTTCAGCGAAACCATCGCGTCGACAGTAACTTTATCGAACGACATTTCAATTAGATTCTCATTGTGATTGTCGCCGATCAATTTCCAAGTCTCGGCCATCTGTATACGATCATTTGAATTCATGTCGATTGATAGCTTCCTGATGTGCTCTCCAAATCGATTAAACGCGTCCTTGGCACTGTTTATATCACAAACAGTGAAATCATGTGCCTTGATTCTATCTTCCATCGCTTTTTTTGTTCGAGTACAGGTCTCGTACAATGCTCGTTCACTCTCTTCATTCAGGTAAAAATATACCTTCTCCAAACACTCATCGGTGAGATCAAGAAACCGTACTGTTGAGCGGCTTTTCGATGCCTCGTAGGCAGTCCAATAGAACAATTCATCATTTATGATCATTTTTTCCGGAGTGATTATTATTTTTGTATCAGGCTGATTGAGCTCAAACTTTACATCTGCACCACGGCTTCGAACAACATGGGTGAATTCGCGATGAAATCCCAAAGTGAACTGTTTCACATCCATAAGATGGTCATATTTGAAAGATACCCACAGCAATTCCTTCATATGTTTGCACGATTTGAATAGCAAAAGTACATCGTCTGGCGATAGATCGTTAAGTCTTAAATCTTCTAGTGCCAATGTGACCAGTTTTGGCAGATTACGAGCCAGATTCATAATCACATTTGGTGTTAAATCGAATCGGTGCAAGTGTAAAAATGTTAATCGTTCAAACAAAGGGAATGTGTCATCAAACTGATCGTGTATGCCATTGGCTTCGCTTTCACCCTCCCAAAAGACTTCTAGCCGTTGAATCATTTTACTCCCCCTAGCGATGGCCCCAAGTACCTTCTGGAATGATGTTTGACCTACGGATATCGCCAATGATTCCAGTTGTTCCATTTCGATGTCAGGGCAAGTGTCCACAAAATCATTTTCTGTGCCAACATAGTCGAGCGCTTTGAGTTTTGTGAATTTATCTGTGAGCATATGAATCAAGCTCAACGGAAATTTATTGCATCTCGATACACGAAGTTCTTTCAACTGTGGATTCATCTGTAGAAATAGCTCCAAATGTGCAATATCCAAATTGGAAATTTCTTCAATGGCCAAATAGTTCAACTGTGGAAATTGGATGGCGGTCCAAATGAAGTTCTTACATTCTAATCGTTTTATGGTGAGGCGGGTCAATGCTGACATTGATCTAATCAATTTTGTAAGCGGCAAATTGTATCTATAATTCGAGATGATGAGGTATTTTGTGGAATGGCAATGTTTGTCTATCAGCTTTATCAGTCTATTCCATATTCGGCGACGCTTAGCACTGATTTTTATCGCTGTCATTTCATTGCCGAAGGTTTGTAAAAATTGACAGTGCAACTTTGGAACTTGTTCACCGTCGCCGTGATGCACGGTGATTTCATAATATTTATCGTCTAAATCACCATTGTATCTCTTTGCATAAGCATCCTTTGCGATCGCTTTGAAACGTTTACACACCCGTGTGGCGTTCAGCAAGTCAATATCACTGGAATTTGTGAAGATTTGCAATAAAATCTCATCGGAGAAATCCAATAGTTCCCATTGTTGGATTTGCCCTTTTTCTGGTTCCATCATTCGACACAAAACACTCTGCGGTGAATGAAGAAATCGAGTCAAAGTGATAAGCCAAAAAGGCTGACGACTTTCAAAATATTGTGAAATCCCAATTGAGTAACGCAACTTAAACAACGCAGATTGATATGAATGACACTCGGCACTCTGAAAGGAATAAAACACAAACGAATCAAAAATAATTCATAACCCAGTGATTAATAATATCTCAAAACAGATGACTAAACACTTAAATCTATGATCAAATATTTTCCTCATTTCAATCTCAATCAATTTATATGCAATCAACTCAAACTGAATTTGTGACACACATCGAACGACTAACTTACATGTTTACGGCAGGCGAGTTGAATAATAACTGATATTGTGAAATATTTTCAGAATCGAAAAGACCCATTGAAAACACATGAGTCACGGAAACATATAGGACTGCCGACGCGTATCGCAATGCTAAATAACATTTTAAATTCAAGTTGTCTGTATTTTTACACATACAAAACGCCATTCATCCGATTAGACAGTGCCGTACAATGTGGTAAAACTCCACTCATCCGAATACATGCGATTCGCTGCAAGTACTATTGACGAATAATATAAATACAAACACTCAAGCACATTAGTAGATAACACGACCAATACACTCAGTCGCGCATGCCGTAGACAATACACCATATATTTAGCTACGCTATTCCTAGCGCTATTTTTCATGAGTGAGATTACATGTAGCCGGTATAAACAGTTGAAATTGTGATGCGTTGCGTCGATATGTCGCGCTGAGCGTTGCGTTGTATGAGGCATGCGATTTTATTTTCATTTCTGCCATTCTCGGTAATTACCACGGTCATGACTTTGAACCGCGCGAATATTTCATTTGTTCAATTTCAATTTGCATGCATGTTATGAAATTTGACCAAAAAATGTGGTTTTGATTAGATAGTCAATAATGAATTGAATGGTGGACAATCGAAGTTGATTGAAAACCCAAAAATAAAATTCTGTTTATTATTTGTTCTTGCTGAATATAATGCATAGTTTATTCATTGGTCTTATCGCAAAATTGAAGTTCGCATTCCTTAATTGTTAATGAACACCCGAAAATCAGTGATTTAAAATAACTATTTTTCCTTTATGCAATTGTTATTTTTTATTTCAACTTTAGAACCGAACCAAATCATACCCAAGCCCATCTGTAAAAATATCTCATACTTATTCATTTCAATAACGTGAAATATATATATATACATAATTTTCCAATCAACCGTTGACAGATATGTTACGATGTACTTTAAAGCAACTACATTGCACTTTGAAAAACCCAAAATCATGATATTTTTATAATAAAGAGTACTGCTAATTTAGCAGTGCTAAACCCATTTTTTCTTAGTCAAGAGAATGTGTGCAGTAAGAGTCTGTAAAGCACGGATATATGAATCCAGTGTCTGTACGCAACAAAATGCGTTTTAGTTTTGTTTAGATTTGAGGTATGTTTAATGTTTGCAAAGTTAACGAAATTGACACCGAGAAAAAATGATCTAATGCAACTTTTGTCATATTGGCTGCCGCAACGCAATACTGGCATATTGGATCTCAATCCCGACTGTTTTTTGGGGTGTTCCAGTTTTTGAGCTACAAAGATTTAATGTCGATGTGTCAGTTGGACGATGAAAATAATCAATTTTTCACATCGCTGATAAATGGTTACATCATTGGCAAAGTGTTAGTGCCTTTTGAGTTTGCCGATAACATATATCAAGAGGGATGGCCAGCAGAGACGAATTTATTAACATTTGGCAAATCAATTAAACGATTAAGAATGAAATATGCATATTTGAACGACATCATAAAAATGATTGTCAGATATTGTTCTCCAGATCGTATCAATGAACTTCAACTTAAAAGTGTTATAAGTTACCATGACATAGACTGGAACCTGATGCATCAAACCATTCCTTACTTGCGTGGTAACATTTGGAACTTGATTACTGTTTAATCCATGGTGACTTTTTGATATCTTTGATAAACCAAGCGGAGAATCTGGAAACATTGAAATTGGCTAATTTCAGGCGGTAAAATAGCATCGATGAAATTATAGTCGAAAGAACCAAATTGAAAGAACTACGTATAAATGATCTAAATGGAGCGGAGAATGAGCTTCTTGTTAGCCTCATAAAACAATCACCACATTTGGAAGTATTTGAATTTAGAAGTGATTCGAATTTTATTCCAGCATATGGCGATACATTGGCCAAATACTGTCCAAAACTACGATACTTCAGCGATGCAACCAACGGTCATCAGAATGATGTGAACTATTATAATTTTCTGCAACATTTCACTCATTTGGAAGACGTAACTATTTCATTGAAACCATGGGAAGATAGCGAGAATCAAAATGTACCAGAAATATTGATCAACAAGAGTTCGCTGAGAAAATTGACAGTGTTCGTGAATAAGAAATATCGAGTGGTTTTTACAGGCACTGAGAAAGATGGGTATTCAAAGGGTTCCACGAAGTTGACCGATGCGAAATTGTATGTTGGTGTTAAAATGTCGAACATTGGACAATGGAAAATGCTTTTACAAAGTTGTCGCTCATCGTTGAACGGAGTTCGTAGAATTAATTTGTCGTGTTTATCAGTATTTATACATCAATATAACATATCTGAAATTCTTCAACACACACCACACGTTGAAGAAGTCAGCATTTATGCGTTAAAGTTATATCAACCACCGGTTGAAGCACGAAAAATCAAACGAATTATTGAAAAAATTGTAGAAAAACGTCGCTATAGCGGACCATCTGATAGAGTCCATTTTGTTGTGAACCCATATCAATTAAAAGAATTTAGGGTTCTCAAGAACATCGATCAAATTATTTCACTTTCAGTTAAGTGATGTGCCAGACGTAAATAGTTTTTATTAGTTTAAGATTATTTGCTAGTATCTAAGCTTAAAATCAGTTTGGAATTTAATAAAATGCAATATAAAAAAACACAATGGATTTTAATTTCAAAATAAGTGTTGGCTTCAAAAAATCTAGGAATAGAAAATACTTTTCAGCTAATTGTTTCTCTGCTTGAATCAGATAAGTGTTCCTTGATTTCTAGTTGCGATGATGGTGGTTATTCATAATAAATTAACTCTACCAGGATCTTTTTTCAAATAGTTTTTAATTATTTCATTGGAATACATTGAATTCATGAAATCAATCAACACTGTATTATAAAAGGGAGAAAACTGAACATCGTCTTATTAATAGTAAATCAATGAACTGTGTCTTCTTACACATTGATTTGCGATTAATAAGACACTATGAAGTTTCTCGTTTTTATTTTTCGATTAAAGTTTCGCTTATAACTTTTTCGCTAACATCGACGCTTTGTTGAGTAGGCTCAATTCAATGATCGATGGTCTCAGCTTGGTTGCTTCACCATCTACCTGCATCGGGATTGTTTGTGACGTAATAATTTTCGCTGTTTTACATTGTGCGATGCATGTACCTGGTCGACCAACCTGCAGCAGTGGCAATTGATACGAGGTCAAACCGATGACTTCGATCAGACCATCGTCGGTAGCTTGTTTCTTGCCTGGGCTAGCCCAAGGACGAGTGCCGCCACCATAGAATGGAATGTTCAAGAACAAAACCGCGTGAACGCGATGCTTCTTCAGTTCCGGTGTTATGTCCGTTCCATTACATTCAAGAGTTACTATTTCAGAAAGATGCTCCCATTTGGCTACCAGCAAATCCTTTCCGCCAGCCTGGCCATAATACAATTTATTCACCAACGGTGAATTGAATACGTCCGGGTGATTTTCACGTGCTTCATGGAATTTGAGCGCAATATGGGCATCGATTCCAAATGAGAAATAATTGTTCACAACCTTTGAATGCTGAGGCAAGTCGTCCTTTCCATCCTCGTCATATTTTGCTTTCAGATTCGGTGTGACTTTTAAACTCCATCGATCCAGCAATACGGGATTCGAGTCGCTAATACTCTTGAGAATTGTTGAAATTGGTTCATTATCATAACCCTAAATGAGAAAAACATTCAATTGTAAACGAAATGGAAAATTCACCGAAATATAACTTACGCCACCCCATCCGAAAGAGCGTGCTAAATCGTTGCCAGTGCCCAATGGCAACACTCCAACAGCTGGGGGCTTTGTGAATTGCATACGATCTAACTCCGAAAAAATCCATCCAGCAGTACCATCTCCTCCGCATGCTAAAATTCTCAGATTTGGCACGTCTCGAAATAATTCTAATCTAAATTATTGGAAAAAACATTGGTGTAACCACAATTCAACCCAACAATACTATATGAATATCGTCGTAGAAAATACTATGAATTCACACTTACCCCATCCGCGGTCCATTTTCTCGTGTCAAGTAAAATACTTGGCGTGGGTTCAATAGCCATTGAAACTTTTCCAAAAGTTCGCCACCCTGAAAATAGAGAACATTAAATGCCATTTTTAGATTGTTCATTTCAATCTTTATTTTGTTCAGTATCATCTTCGTGTCAAATAACGAAAATTCAATTTTAAATAAAAGAAACAAACTGACCATATTCCCACCACTCTTTGGATTGATAAAAACTAGCAAAGGTGCGTGTTCTGTCATGGGAATGGGCTTAATCACAAACGGTTTGTATTTCTTCTGTTTTACTATCCATGATGGCGGCACAATGATTTTAGAGTGCTGACCTTCAATTCAATTACACCGGGATATTAATGGTAAATTGTTCAAATGTGTGCGTGACATTCGACGTATCAATAGATGTATTTAGTACGAGCATATTCTGAATCATATAAAACTCACCAAACGTACACCGGTCGCCAATTTGATGTGAATTAAAACATGATTCCTTATTATGAAATGATAACTTGCACCAGGGACATGATACTGCAACAACTTTCTTCAAACTGAATGAATTCGCTTCAATCAACTAATTGATCAACGGATAAATAAATTGAGTTTGGTTAACTTAGGAAAAATCATCGGGTTTGTTGACGTAATCGTTGCCATCGTCACCTTTCCCAAAGCTCAATTTTAGAGGAAGGAAGAACGAAAAAAGAGCAGATGACCGACATCTTACTATGAAAAAACATCTCACTCACCTTTTGACATTTTTCACACTGTCTGTATTCTCCCTTTTCCATTTGATGGTACATCCAATGATGGGGATTATGTAATGGCCAATCAATAATTGACTTTTTTTGCATTTTCAGAGTGCTTTCGTCTATGAACGATGGTTTGCATGACAATTGTTGTCGTTTCGTAATAATCGGCATGCAACTGGTATGAGCCACCATTTTACATGCCGAACACTTCATGCGCGGTCCCCGTTTCTGTGTCGATGCGATTTTTGAACCAGGAAATGACAAGAGGAGCGAATAACGAACATTTTCAAAGTAAAAACAATGACGATAAATAAGCAGGCGTTTTCGTTGAGAAAGTACTTCACAAGAGTGCAAGTCACAAAAAAAATGCTTATTCACAATAAATGTATAAATGGCCTTACCGAGCATTCTTTTTTGCCGACATCACAAATATCACCCGAATCTGATGTTGCCTGCCACAAGTGATCACCGACTTTCGCATTGACACTCCAATCAGGCAATGGAACACTTTTACTCGTCTCATTTCTAATAACGAATTCAAACGCCACTGAAACATATTTATATGTGTGTTTTCATAACGAAATCATTTTCAAGCAATGTCATTCTTTCACACGTTATGTATTCAATGAGTTAGTTTTAAAGATCTATTCATTTTAGCGAGCTAAAATTTCTGTAATCATAGGCTTTTTGTTGTATTAGTCTAATACTATTAGAAGACATTTCTACTACCATAAACGCATATGAACGCGCTTATCACGAAAATATTCTTCTAGTCTTGCTATTTAAATTCCTTATATTCATAGGAAAAACATTTGTATTGAATAACTCACCCACTAGTGGGAGGATCATCTGTATATTCTTGGCTAATTCCATATGCACATTTCAAATTCCCGAACAATCTCTTGATGCCGTCCAAAAATCCTCCGTTGACAACGTGTAGCGTTAATATCTAACAAAGTCCGATTAAATCAATTAAGTTCTTTCTATCAAAATTGTACAGATTAGATGGAATAAGAAAAATTCTTCAAAAATGATACTCACGAGACAAGCGAATAGAAAAATTGATTTTCTATTCATTTTGAATTCTGAATTAAATGTTTCTTTTCAAATGAAATTCCGTTTGGGTGGGTACTTTGCAAAATAAATTGGACAGTGTGGTAAAATGGAAAAATTCGTTTAATTTAAAAGCTTTCTGGAATGAGTTCCGCAAGTGTGTTCAACAAAATTATTCATAAACAAATTTTGGTGATGATGCAAATGGAATACAATTACGAAATAATGAATATTAAAAAAAAATTAACATGACTGAATTATTTTATGATTGGAACAAGTGTGGTGGAAATTTCCTTACACTTCACTCTTGAATCGCAAAAGTTCACTCCATAAAAATGATGTTCGCAAGTGTTTCACACATTCTTCTCTTTAATAACAAAATGTCAGCATTCTATAATTTCAATTATTGTGTGTACAGAGATGCCTGTGAGAAAAATTACCCGAATCGCGAGATTCTATTTTTTTCCTCTTCACTTTGTAAACAATCAACAATTTTTCATATCGAATTGCTCGCCAAAACAGACTACTTGTACTATATTACCATAAAGGAGAAATGCATGAAATGTGACTGTGAATATTGGGACTTCTCATGTTTTGAAGCAATTCAACTTGAAATAACGTATGCCTCCTGCTTCACAAAAGAGAATATCATATCACACAAAGTAAATCCAAGATTCAGACCTTATAAATAAAATTCAGACAAAAATTTTGCGAAACACTTTTTATTTTCATTTAATATGAACAAGACATTGGTAGGTATGTCTTCCATTTTTGGTCGTTGAGAACTATGTTTGTGGCACGGCGAACTTCTTTTTTTTTTAAATAGGAAAAAATGTTTACTTTTAACTTTTCCTATAAAAATAGAAGGCTCACATGATTTTACATAATAGATTTCAATCAACTCTTCACTTTCCTCTGCCCTGAGTTCATCTCGATTAACATCAACAAATCGTAAACAACATTCTCTGAAATAATCTTGTGGCAATGTCGAAAAAGTAAATAAAACATATTTACTAAATGAAAATTTAATCCAAACATCTGATTAGTTCTATAGGCGGAAATTAAGTGTTATGCATGTCAATACGCAGAAGAAATTTATGAAATTGCAGATCATCATTATCTATGTTTTATATGCCTATTGTCTGAAATAGTTATCCTTTATGAAATTACCACAATTTGTGTCATCATAGAATGCATGCACATTTTTTTAATCCGATATTTATTTCAACGAATATAGGTCGAAGATATAGTTTGAGATGTATGTAGTGAAGGTTAAGAAATGGTTAAGAATATGGTTTGCTTAATTACACTCTTCAACTATAAAATGGGTCACCTTTGAGTATATCAATTTTGAAAATATTAAAATGCAAAATAAAAATTCAAAAATTCATTTCAAAATAAATGTTTGCTTTAAAAAATCGTATGACAAAATTGGAAAAAAAATTCTTTTCAGTAGTAGCTTGATTTCGAAAAGGAAATCAATCTAGCTAGTGGCGTAATCTAGCCAGCCAGGCTTTTGAGGAGATTTGGATCGATTTCCATTGGAGCATCCGGAACATATTCTGCTTGTGGAGGCGCACATACTGAAAGGTTAAATGATATTGTAATTTAAAAGACTCAATTCTTCAAAATCAAATATGTCTTCCATACCAGTGCTTTGATCTAATTGTTTGTAGATTGTTTGAGTTAAGTTGAGTTCATCGTCAGTGAAAGTAGCTTGGAATAAGAAACATTCATGATAATCTGGTACGTAAACCGTTTGAACGTGGGGATCATCGGTGTATGATGTTCTGCCTTTGTATTGTCTTCCATTATTTGTCGAAAAAAATCTAAAACAAAAATTCAATAATCTGACGCTATACAATATTTGATTGTTCACAAAACTCACACATAATTAAATGTTTTTTCCTTAACATCAGCCAGTTGAAAGGCAACGTTATTCACATTCCAACTGATATAGCATTCAAATAGTTATTAATAATAAAGATCGCAGTGAATATATTCAGTTATTAATTTCAACCCACTATGTCATATACGGTCCTCCATACACTTTGCCATCCTTGTGAATATGATAAGAAACGAAGTCATCCGTCAAACGAGCCAGTACTTCATTTTCTCGGTCAAGTTGAACTGAAGACGAAAAATAAAAACTCAATTTTCCATTTCGAGAAAAAGTGGTCGATTGAATGAATTCACCATAGTTCACAATTTTATCAAAAGAATCTTTTTTGAGATCATCTTCCGAAAAGTTAATCCAGTAGAATGAGTCATCGGCGCCCATCATCACGTAGATATTCAATGAAAGACTATGCAAAGGAGTCGCTTTGCCAATGAATTTCCCACCATTAGCCAATGTGTATCTATTCCATGGATAAAAAATCAATAGCATTTTTAGGGTGTTTCACTGAATTTCGCAACTCACTCAAAATTGAAGCCACTGCTTTCATCCTGAATTCTTGTGAAATGAAACACTTTTGTATTTGAACCATTATTATTAATTGGCACTACAGCTAAAGCTGATAACAAACAGAGCGCTGCGCTCAATTTCCACATTTTGTAACTACTTGACTGTACACTGTACTCAAGAGAATTGTGTCAGAAAAGGAGAATCCAAATCTTTTATATGCTGCGCAAAAAAGTATTCTTTTTCAAGACAGACAAGTTTGTTTTGATTATACGGGTTTCCGAACTCTGAAAAATTGTGGTCAGTTCAATGTTGAATTTCAAAGGTCATTAAAACGGTTAACTCACATTTTGCATACGAAATGAAATCGATCCGACAGAAAATATTAAAGAGAAAAAAATCAACGAAAGAAGGCACCGAAACATTTATGATTTGATATATATCTTGGTTCTCGATTTTAATCAGCATTTACTTGACAAATGCTTTGTTCTGAACGTTGAAATGAAAACTTAAAATTTCTTTGGTCTGTGTTTATTGTCCAAGTTTTTGTCCCATTTGAAAGATCTTCTCCAGTGAAATAAACTTAATATACGTTGCGAGTTAGAGACAATTTGAATGTGCCAAGAGCTTTCATTAGAGCATTCGATCATTTTGTTGTTGTTGTAAATACTCGTCGAACACGACAGTCTTCGATCGGTCGTAAAACGTTAAAAAAATACGACGAAAAGAAGTTTCGTCGAGGGGTTTATGTGTCATGCGAATCTCACAAATCAATACGAAAATGTGGGCAACTGTGTAATCTTTCATATGAGTTTGCGAGTCACTGTTTGCGAGACACGTGTCAGTACTGACTCGCGTCGATTTGTGGAATTGTAATGAATACACTTTACTTGCTGTGGTAGGAATCGCGAGTCAATTTGTATGAATTTGTGCGAGTCAGTACTGACTTGCGATGACAAATAAGCCCCTCGAGTTTCGTTCATGTCCTTGAAAAATGTTTTAATTTAGTAGAAGTATGGAATCAAATATATTTTTTAAGGCAAATAATGAAAACTGGTTGCATTCGAGTTTGTTTATGATTTGTATTTTTGAACAATGCGATTGAGATACTTATAGCAAATACAACTGGCTGGATTTTAGTTGAATATTTGAACCCGTGAGCATAAAAACGACTTAAAAAAAATCGCCGATCAAAACGTAACATAGATTTGTCGGCGTAACATACCAGTGTACAATTTGTTCCGAATTGAACGAGTAACAAATAGGTGTTTCGCTTTGTTCGGCGACGTTTTTATAAGCCGTTTTTATGCTCACGGGTTCATTTAGAAATTTTCCAATTTAAATTAGAAGAAACATTAGTGTGTGTATGCACATTGCACATCTCGATCAGGACCAACAAATTATAAACAAACACAACATTCTATAAAATAATCTGTCGCTCGTGCAATGCGCACACAAACATGTACAGATACTTAAATTGAAATGCTATGCGTTATCTATACACAGAGGCTTGAGTTTTATTCAATTTTGCACAAATTCCAGATCCCCAGGATCTATGTTTTATACCTCTTATGGGAAACCGTTATCCTTTATGAAATGACCACAGTTTGTATAATCGTCAAACGCATGCACATTTTTTTAATCCGATTAATATTTCAACGAATATAGGTCGAAGGTTTAGTTTGAGATGCATGTGGTATACCAAGAACCTTAGTATTGTAATTTGCTGATGGTTAAGAATTGTGTTTGCCTAATTACATTTTTCAACTATAAAATGGGATACTTTTGGGAATATTCCATCAGTTTGGTTCCGATAGCGATTGACTACAGAAGTCACACAAACACCACATCACTTTTGAGAATTTGAACATTTTAGCCAAAGTAACATTCAGTTCACCGAAGTTATTTTCAAATATTTTTTTTAAATTCAAAGTTTATTCTCGAAAAAATCTAAAGTCTTCGAATAGGCAGAGTTGTTTTTGTGAAATAAATCTAGCGATGGAAAAAGACACGACATTTACGAAATTGACACCGAGAAAAAATGATCTAATGCAACTTTTGTCATATTGGCTGCCGCAACGCAATACTGGCATATTGGATCTCAATCCCGACTGTTTTTTTGGGGTGTTTCAGTTTTTGAGCTACAAAGATTTAATGTCGATGTGTCAGTTGGACGATGAAAATAATCAATTTTTCACATCGCTGATAAATGGTTACATCATTGGCAAAGTGTTAGTGCCTTTTGAGTTTGCCGATAACATATATCAAGAGGGATGCCCAGCAGAAACGAATTTATTAACATTTGGCAAATCAATCAAACGATTAAGAATAACCATGCAATCCGCATATTTCAACGACATCATAAGAATGATCATGGGATATTGTTCTCCAGATCGTATCAATGAACTTCAACTGAAAATGAGCGAAAAGAGAAATTATGACAACACCGACATAGATTGGGACCTGATGCATCAAGCCATTCCATACTTGCGTGGTATCAAACATTTGGACATTGATGGCTATAACATCCGTGATTTTGGTGACTTCTGCGTATTTTTGTTAAACCAAGCCGAAAATCTGGAAACGTTGAAATTGGCTAATTTCAGATGGCAAAATCACATCGATGAAATCACAATCGAAAGAACCAAATTGAAAGAACTACGTATAAATGATGTATCTGGAGCTGAAAATGAGCTTCTTGTTAGCCTCATAAAAAAATCTCCACTGTTGGAAGTATTTGAATATAAAAGTGATACAAATTTCATCCCGACATATGGCGATACATTGGCCAAATACTGTCCAAAACTACGATACTTCAGCGATGCAACCAACGGTCATCAGAATGATGTGAACTATTACAATTTTCTGCAACATTTCACCCGTTTGACAGTCGCAACCATTTCATTGAAACCATGGGAAGCTAGCGAGATCCAAAATGTACCAGAAATATTGATCAACAAGAGTTCACTGAGAAAATTGACCGTATTTGTAAATAACAAATGTCAAGTGGTGTTAACGGGCACTGAGCAAGATGGGTATTCGAAGGGATCGACGAATTTCACCGATGCTAAATTTCATTTTGATCGAACAACGAACATTAGACAATGGAAAATGCTGTTACAAAGTTGTCGATTATCGTTGGACGGAATTCGTAGAATCAACTTGTCGGGTTTATCAGTTTATAACACACATGAAATTCTTCAACAAACACCATGCATTCAAGAAGTCAGTATTTATACGTCAAGCCTACATCAAGTGTCAGCCGAAGTACGAAAAATCAAACGGATCATTGCAACAATTGTAGAAAAACGTCGCTATGGAGGCCCATCTGATAGAGTCCATTTTGTTGTGAACGCACATCAATTAAAAGAATTTAAGGTGCTTAAGAATATCGATCAAATTATTTCACTTTCAGTAAAAAGAAATCCAAACTTATTAAAATCTCAATATTATTGTGATTGAACTTCATATCATTTTTAAATTTAATAAAACGCTAATTGAAAAAACAAAAACTAAAATGAACTTTAATTTCAAATATCCACAGATACTAGTACGTGATTATATTTGCCATTCGACTATACTAGTTTTTATTGGAAAATTCTCAAGATTACGCATTCCATTAAAAGCCTCTTTAACCGAACAATTTTATTTTCGAAATCAATAGATGTTCGGATTCTCTGTCCAAAAAGCTATATTCAAAGGATTTTCTATGTGAGGTTGGAATGTTATGAAAACAAAAGTGTTTCAAGTACTACCTAGCGGTACCGTCAATCAAACGATGATTTTATAGCTTTTTCTCAGAGACTCTGACTCAGAGTGTAGTCGATTACATTGTTTGTAAGACAATAGAGAGATATGTCGTTCAGTGAATGAATCTGCCATTGTCTAAGTTGAATTATATTTTCTTTTTTATATCAATTGATTTTTGTCAATTAAAACAAAACACCTCATTGTCAATTTAGATTTATTCATTGTACGAGACAAATGTTTCGATACCTCAGTCGTACTCGCATGAGCTGTCGAAACAATTGTCCCGTCCAATAAATAAATCCAAATTGACAATGAGGTGTTTTGTTTTAATTCACAAAAATCAATTGATATAATTGGGTCAGTTTGCGCCCGAAAAACAATCTTTTTCTGAATATTTTCTTTTGCTTAGAAGAATATCAGAGCATGGGCGAGTGTTGGTCCGGTAAATATCTCCTTTGAGTTAAATTTTTTATGATTGCACCTTTGTTTTTCTGCCTTTTATCTGTTTAACATAGCATGATAAAAACTCAATTCAATGACAAGTCCAAAATGAATGAGCCAAACAACTGATCGGGTGAAACTTAAACGCAGTAATCGATTCGAAGCAAATGAAATGGTTAATCTGAATATGGATGACGTCAAGTGAATGTTCGCATAAAGAAAATTGAGATATTACTATTGGTTAGTTTTGAATAGAATCAGCTGGTGTTGTTTAACCCTTTAATGCATTAATTTTTCCCAGGCTGGGAAAAATTCATAATCCTGGATTCCTCATGGTTTAGTCAGGAAATGTGATTGACATAAATCAGAGAACAATCAAATCTATTGTTTAAAAGTGTCAAAAATGTGTCTAATTTCGAGTTCGAATAATTTATTTCGTCAAATTTTTGTTTTTGCACACATTTTTATTTATAACTTTACAATCACACTACATAGACAAATATTGCCAAAGACAAAAATAAAGAGAATAATAATTCCCTCTGAAGCAATGTGATCCGATGTACGGTCCCAAGAGAACCGGCCAATAAGTTTATACGCTGTCTATCCGCCGAAAATACACTACAATAAATATTCACGCTTATTGGACGCCGAATTGAATATATATTCTAGTGTATATTCGGTGTATTCTTCAGCGTTAAACATATTGAATCAATGAATGCATTCATGGCCATCAGAGGGCGCCTGAATATGTTTCAATATGTTTCACGCTGAAGAATACACCGAATATACACTAGAATATATATTCAATTCGGCGTCCAATAAGCGTGAATATTTATTGTAGTGTATTTTCGGCGGATAGACAGCGTATAAACTTATTGGCCGTTTCTTTTGGGGTTTAAGTTCTACAGCCGTTCAAATGTTGCCCGTCTAGAGGCGGTTGTATGCATTAGAGGGTTAATTCAAGCATAGCTAATAAGTTCAATTCAACCCAACTATTATTATCACATTTCAAATTTGGTGAAATGTTTTGACAAAGTTCGATCAATGGCTGTTCATTCATTAGAAAATTGAAACCTGTTCAAACCAAAAGAAATCTATGTTGAAATAGAGTATAAAAGCCAACGAATTTCCTATGGTGAAATGATTCTTTAAAACGCAGTTCATTTTATAACTTTGATCGAAGTGGTTGCAAAATGTTCAAGTTAAGTGTGGCTATTTGTTTCTTAATCGCTCTTGCTGTAGAGTCGGCCAAAAAAGAACTGAGAGAATTCCATTTTACAAAAGTGAAAGATGTGAAAAATGAATTTAACTTCGAGTGAGTGAAAAAGTTGTGTTAAAACATCTGATAAAATGCATGAGAAATTATCGAAATCAAATAAATAAATGTTTCATCAAATGTTTATTCATCAGATATATAGTGAATGGCGTAACGTTATACAGTGGCAAAACGACTCCTTTGAGTGAAAAAGTACCCGGACTCTATCTGATGGTCGGTCCAGATGCTCAATTCTTTTGGGTCAAACTGACAAACGATCAGCTCAAACAAGATTCATTTGATGAACTTGTGCGACCGGGTAATTTTCATTCATTTCACTGTCCAGCAAATGGAATGTTTAAAATTGGAAAAAATATTTCAGTGGAATTTGATACACAGCACGAGGTGTTGGCTGATCTGAAAGATGAATTCTGTCACTATAAATTATACAATAATGGCAGATTAACAGGAGGAACTTATAATGCAGAGTAAGTTGCTATCATCAAGATATGTTTGACAAATCAAATGGTTTTGTTATGCAGCTAAAATTAGGATTCGATCAATTATTCTCCTCTTTTACTCCCGATTCATTGAATCTCTTTTGTTTTCATTGAATATTGTGTTTTAGTTGGGATCTCGATAACATTATTTTCACATTGGCCGATTCTCGAACAAAAGTATTCGACTACACGTGAGTCTGGTTCTGATTTCATCGAAAATTCAGTTTTATTTCCTTCAAAAACCATTTTTGTGTATTTTTGAAACTTTTTGTTTCGATTAGAATCTCTTCGAAGAACAATAACAGACAAATTGTGGGCAGAACGTCCCACGACGATGACCCGCATGTACAAAAAGTCCTTGTTCCAGATCATCATCAATGTTATTCATTTCAAGCTATTTTCACCGACGATGAACTGCGTTCGAGCAAAGAGATTCATAAGAAAGTCATCCAGGTGTTGAGTAAGCTAATTATTTTTTTGAGTTGATCAAATTTATTTTGTGATTATTTTTTTGACTTATTATAAACAAATCATGAACCCCATTTTCAGGGTGTACTCCTCTCCATCCTGTAAGAGCTACAACTCCCGTATATTATTCGCAAGTAGATATTGAACCGGTACTATTCAGAAACTTGATCAGTTTATCACGTGACGAATATTAACGACAAGCCAGTGAATCAAGTTGATCTAACCAACATTCATCAACCAATCGCATTTCATTCAAAAATGAAGAAACTTTCAGAAAAAAAAAGATGACTAAAAATTATGAACGAAATGAACTCATTGGTGAACGCATTTGCTTAAAGCTGTACCTTTAAATTTCATAATCAAATAAATTAATTTCTATTTCAAAATCGAATAAAACGGAATCAAAATTATGTTTTGATCAACACAACATAAATTTTCATTTCAACATCAACGTCATATATCATTTAGAATACAATCAATTGAACAGGTTCTTTCGCAACACAAGTTAAAATTGATCGTTTAAATGATAATTGAGATGCCGCAAGAAATAAATTCTTGTGGTGTCATGACGATCCTCTTCCGAGATCAACAGTTTATTATAGAAGCAGCCGGTATCGAAAACTAATTAATATGCGACAACGAAGTTGAGTATCAATTTTCGATGACCCTGAATTTCACACAATCGAGCTATAGTTCAATCAACGTCAATACAAAAACCTGTTCATTGGACATATATACTTTAGTGTAGGCTATATAAGACTATGATTCTTCTTCAGTTGAACGTTTCATTTTATACTGTGATTTCGAACCGAAAGGTTGCAAAATGTTTAAACTAAGTGTGTGCCTCTGTTTGGTAGCAGTTTTTGCTGTAGTTTTAGGTGATAGTTTAACGGAGAAGAAAAAATTCTTTCATTTTATTAGAGCTCAACGTGGAAGTAGAGACTTTAATTTTGAGTGAGTTGATACCAAATTTGTGACTGTAAACAGTGAAATGCATTGTATTTCATTGTGTTTTTATTGATCGATAGATACGTAACGGACAGTGGTCAACAAGTAAATGGGCGAGCGGTTGCAGCTAGCCGACAGGAACCAGGCCTTTATTTGATGCAAGGCTCAGATGCTCCATTCTATTGGGTCAAATTTACCGACAGTGAACTGAATAATGAAGATGATTTTGATAAAATTGTTCGATCGGGTAATGTTCTTCTTCGATAAATGAGATGTCCTGGATGTTGATTGAAAACGAAAAAAAATAGATGTTATTGATTGAACATTTCAATATTTCAGTCAAACTGGTTCACGGAAGTGATGTGGTGGCGCAGTTAAAAGACGGTTTTATTTCATACGAAATTCACAGAAATGGCCAACTGACTGGAGGACCTTACAAACCAGAGTAATTTTAATACTAATCGACGAATTATCGACAAAAATCACATTTTTTCGTTTGAAAATTCAATTTTAGTTGGAACTTGGACAATGTTGGTTTTGAATTGGCTGATGCTCGATCAAAAGTATTCTATTATACGTAAGTTCTTTTGAGTTGAATCCCAAAATTATTTACGTTATTAATATTCATTTTTTTATTAGAATTACATCGAGAAATAATGACAGAGAACACAGAGGCACCACATCTTTTACAAGTGATCCACATGTTCAAATCGTTTCTATCCCAGACCGTCATGATTGCTATGTATACCAAGCTAAATTCACCGATGCAGAGCTCTTCTCTGTTGGACCAATGATCTATAGGAATGTTGAACAAAGTTTGAGTAAGTGTTTTTTTTTTGGTTATCAATCTTTCATTAAGATTAATTTTGGTATCGCTCTTCTAGAATGTCAACCACCACAGGATGTGTCTCTAAGTGCTTCAAAAGAAGTTGATCCATATCTTCTCCAAAATCTTGCCGGCCCACAGTTAGGATAAGAGAGTACTGATTATATCGTTAAAATTATGTCAATTTTCAAAAGTATCCAAGCCAAAAATAAAATCGAACGAAATACTTGTCGAAATGTCATATTTAAATTTCATTACAAAATACAAAACACAAACAAACACTGTACGCAACATGTTTTTTTCTGTATTTTATAAAAACCTGTTTGATTCACACTTCTACCGAATTGAACTTTTATTAAAGCACATGAACGTAACTATGTCATAATGAATCAAACGGGTGATTGACGGATTGGAGGGAGAGCACGTTTTTTGACATATATTCTTGAACGATACTCTGAAAAAACTGATGTGAGGTTATGTTAAACTGTTTGTGTTGACATTTATTTCGCAACAAGTATTCAAAAAGTTTGTGGTGATTCTCGGTACTAAATATATTTTTGCCGCTAGAGCGGCACAAATCTTTTTTGACTTTGTAGTGAAAAAAAGGTTAGAAATATATTTAGTACCAGAAATTGCCACAATCTTTTTGAATTCTTGTTGTGAAATAAATGCCAACACAAACAGTTTAACATAACCCTACATCAGTTTTTTCAGAGTAGTGAGTGTTTGCATGATTGAGACGGATGCGGTTTTGGGCGAAACTAACAAGAGATTAGAGACAACTGCAGCATCTCAAGTTCTACAACCTGTTTGACCAGAATAATTTGTTTGTCTTGATAAGAAAAAAACATTTCTGCAAATTATATAAAAGTCCTGGATTCGCTTTGACTTACATGATTCTCTTCTGTGCAGCGCACAAGTCATGTGTTTACAAAATGTGCAAATTGAGCGTAGCTCTCTGTTTATTAGCAGCTTCTGCAATAGTGTCGAGTGATAATTTCGCAAATCCAAAAGTGTTCCATTTTACAAAAGATCAGAGCGAAAGCAATGGTTTCAATTTTGAGTGAGTTGCTGAATTGTGTGTTTGTGAAACATAAAAAATTTTTTTTTATTGAATTTTAATTGATTAAACAGATACGCATTGGCTAACGGGGAAAAGTTCATTGGCAAAGCGACCCCTTTGCATAATCTTTTATCGAATATCTACGTGATGATGGGCGCCAATGACTCATTTTACTGGGTCAATTTTTCGAAAGATGATCTGAAGAAAGATTCTTTTGATAAATCTGCGAACTATGGTAAATTCGATCATGAGTCTTCCATTTATCGAGATAAAGAATATAGTTTTATTAAATTTCATGTCATAAGTCAAACTTAACCGAGACAATGAAGATGACATAATTGCCCATTTGGAAGACGACTTCGTTTCCTATCATATTTACATGGATGGCAAACTGATCGGAAGACCTAAAGAGACATTGTGAGTTGAAAGATTCTCTATTGCCCGCTTTATTAATATTATTGATAACCATTTGAACGCTATTTCAGTTGGGATGTGAATAATGTTGCCTTTCGACTGACTGATTTCAAAGAAAAAACATTCAACTATGTGTGAGTTTTGCATACAATCAACTGTAGTATTGTGACACATTTATTGGTTTCCACCTTGCTTTAGCATCTCGTCGACAAACACTGGAAAACAGCACAGAAACACAACAGCATACACTGATGACCCACACATTCAAACGCTTGGGCTCGTACCAGATTATCATGAATGTTACTTATTCACAGCTTCTTTCACTGACAACGAACTCAATTCAACTGAAATCATCTATAAACAATTGGATCAAAGACTGAGTAAGTAAGATCCCAACTTGTTTTTCAAGAAAGTGCTCATATCACTTCACCTTTCAGAGGAAGACTGTGTGAACAAAGAGATTGCTGAATTAGATTTTAAATGTAAGTCTTTTGCGATATTGAAGTTAATGCTATCTCTAAACCAACTGATCAAATCATCAAATATTCCGAGCACATGGGATTGAAATGTGGCACACACGATTGAAACAAATTGCTCGAAATATTCAATGATTCGATCAGTTGATTCAGAGATGTTGGCTGTCGTCTTATTGTTCTGGCAATTGATTTATAATTGTGAGCTTCCAGTTGATGACTACTTTCCTCCAGTGGAAATCGAACCAAATCTCCTCAAAAGCTTGACTGGGTAGATTATTTGGGGCTAGAGATGGTTTTCAGTATTATTGAGTAGCAACATTTTCTTCAGCGATGTTCCAATAAGTTGTAGTGTTGTAATAAATTTTATTTTCGAAGTATTCGAAGCTCAATGGAGCAGCGGACTTGTCGTCACACGCAAAGATGTAGCATTCCGCTTGATTTAGCGATTCGTTAGTTGCCGAAACATCGTCTATGCAGTGCACTCGATATATAACGTGAGATCCTAATATTCGGTAAGCCGAAGTATAATTTCGTTTGCAGCGTCGCGCAATTCACGTTAGATATAACATCGTACGTCATCGTAGTAGCCATTGGTCATTCGGCCAACCGAATATTGGGATTTCACTTGATAGATCGAGTGCACTGCAAAGACGATGTTTCGGTAACTAACAAATCGTTAAATCAAGTGAAATGCTAAATCTACGCTTGCGACGAGAAGTCCGCTGCTTCCTTGAGAGATGCAGTATTTTTTAGTGACTTTTCGCCCATTTTAATGTTACTTTGTAGATTACGTTATTAGTTGAAATTTGTTTTTTTTTTCAAATAAAATTAAAACGAAAATGAAATTAGTTTAAAGAATACATCCCATTTATCATTGTTTCTGCATTGAATTGATTTGTGAAGAAACTAAACGGTCTTGCTAATTGATTCGATGAACTATAATAATCCAAAATAAATGCGAGAATAAATGTTGAATGCTCATTTTACTTTGTGTCCACCTCTACCTTTACCTTGTGTCCACCTCTCTCTCTATACTCAGGTGTTTTAATGGAAATCGATCTTAAATTTCTGAAAAGGTAATTGATTATTCACTCCAGAATTGCAATGAATTTCAAATAAAAGAGTATGAAGCTATTCGACTTTTTGGAAGTTTGAAAAAAAAATTCTTTCTCACATCAATTTATAATGTTGTAATTTCAGTTTTGGAGGATTATCATGGTTTTTTGTATTTCAAAAATGTACTACATGAAAGCGGAAAGAATTTCAGGACGAAATTTGTACATGTTCCGGACGATTTTCGTAATTTATCGGTAGTCTTCTTTTGATGACTCCCCCTTGTTAACACTCTCTGTCGAATCAATTATAGTTCATATGCTAAATGCAGAATAAGCATTTTATTAATGACCATGAAATTCAACATTGCATTGTATCGATACGAATGAGCATGGCATTGGATAGAAATTCTGTATGCGTTTTCTAAAAAAAAGCACCATTTTGTTCAATAGAAACGTAAAATATCAGTTTTAAGTGTACTTAGAATCGATGAAATCGTCTCTCCAATTATTGCCATCGATACAATTGATTTCAGGAGTTTGAAAACCTGTTTTGATGAAAATAAATTTTTTCTCAGCACATAAAAGACTTGGATTCTTCTTGACCGCCATAGTTCTCTTTCATGCAGTGCAGGAATCAAGTGGTCGCAAAATGTTGGAATTAAGCGCAGCAATCTGTTTGTTGGCAGCTTCTGCTGTAGTGTCGAGTGACTATTACGCAAATCCAAAAGTATTTCATTTTACAAGAGATCAAAGCGAAAGCAATGGTTTCAATTTTGAGTAAGTTGCAGAATTGTGTGCTTATAAAATACCCTTAAAATGTTATTGAATTTGTATACATTAAATAGATACACATTGGCTAATGGTGAAAAATTCATTGGCAAAGCGACCCCTTTGCATAGTCGTTCAACGAATATCTACGTGATGATGGGCGCCGATGACTCATTCTACTGGGTTAACTTTTCAGAAGATGATCTCAAGAAAGATTCTTTTGATAAATCTGCGAACTATGGTAAATTAATTCTCTCGCTAGTTTATAATTTACTCCAGAGAAAAAATAAAGATTTTGTTCCAATCATCTTTAGTGCATCTCGATCGAGGAAACAAAATACTGGCTAATTTGATGGATGACTTCGTTTCTTATGATATTTATCGAAATGGTATACTGATCGGGGGACCGTATGCAACATAGTTAGTTCAAAGTTGATTTTAATTGCAAAATTGATAAAGCTCATACGATTCGATCGTTTTATTTCATTTTGTCTACATTTTTTCTTTGGATGTCTTTCAATTTCCCTTCTCTTTACTGTTTCTAATCGATCGTCATTTGGACTATGTGCTATACAATTAATATTCTTTGATTTATCATCACTTGTATTCAATTTCAGTTGGGATGTGAATAAAGTTGCCTTTCAACGGGCTGATACTAAATCGAAAACATTCAATTATGTGTGAGTTCTAGATACAATTGTCCATTGTCTAGTCACATTGATTAATCTCCTTTTTCAGAATCTCGTCATCAAATAATGGAAGGCAATACAGAAACATAACATCGTATACCGCTGATCCACATATTCAAACGATTAACGTACCAGATTATCACGAATGTTTCTTATTCCAAGCCACTTTCACTGACGAAGAACTCAATTCTAGTCAAACAATCCATAAACAATTGGATCAAAGCACTGGTGAGTAAGCAATAGTTCATTTTCAAGTTTTTAACCTAATAATTTCATCCCATTTTACAGTATGTGAGCCTCCACCAGCAGGAGTTCCCCCTGGGTGCTTTAATGGAGATCGATCCAAATCTTCTCAAAAGCTTGACTGGGTAGACTAAGTCTACTATGCCATTAGTTGCAGAGATTACTATGAGATATTTTTATTCATATGGGATAGAAATATCGCATAAAATTTTCCTTTGGAAGCAAAGATAATTTCAGATTTACAGTTATAACACCTATTCGCTAATAATTGATCGGTATTAACATGTTTATAATGAAATAAATAAAAAATGCTGACAATATATTTTTTTAAATAGCAAGATGACCATAGTATTTCTGACTTTAATAATTAGACAGCAAAAGTTTCACCAGTTGAAATTATTTGATTTTATAAAGTTTATGTTGATTGATGAGGCCAAATTTATAGCATTGAAACATTGCGAACTTTGAAGTAAATACGATTTCCTAGCTAATTGTGGCAGTTTGCTTGGGTTTTTTTAACAGCAACGAAACATTTTGCTATTCTATACTTCGTTAGGGCTGTCACTTAGTATCCAATTTTTTAGTATTACCCCAGCTAAGGAAATTTATCCAAAAAACACATATGATTTCTTCGATACATATCTTTTGATGAACAAAACAAAAATGAATATGTAAGCAGAAATTCACAGAATTCAAACATTTCACATTCACAAACCAAATTCTCATTAGAAATTCCGTTTTGCATGTTACTAAGTTGCGTTGAAAATGAATAATTTTGCAAACTGTCTATGACGTTATAAAAAAACAAGTGTTCAAGAGCCTTGTCCTAACACACATTTTCATGTTTCAAATTCACAATTTCCATCGGATTTTAGTCTGGATACGTAAGAAGTTCCAAAAGAGTGATCAAATTGCGATGCGATTCTCATATAAGCACACATAGCCGAAAAAAAAATAGCAATTCCTGCGTTGAATACTTTTTGAAATGTCTGTCAATTTTGTATTACATTCAATAGCCATCGTTTGTTGCTTGGCTTGTAAGTCGATTTTATATTATATCAATGAGATTTTAAGAAAATAAGAGAAATTTGTTTAATTACAAAATTTAATGTTTATTTGGTTTCATTGATATAACATGTTATATTGTAATGTTATATATATAAAAAGAATAAATGTTTCAAAGTGATCGTTTGACCATTTTAGTCCATGTATTAGTGACCCGTTTCTCCCGTATACAATCACCGTGGTAGTTAATCTGAACGATGCGTAGAGTTGCACAAGGGAATAAATCGTAGACCATTTTCAGGAATTTCTCATCAAACTCTTCTGTATTGTCGAGTTCATTGCCATCGGAGTCGGTTGTAAATGCTCTTTGAATCAGCTGAATAATCTCAATGCGTTTACAGTTATCCTTGATGCACTTGAACATTCGTTTCGCGTTGTTTAGATCAAAATCTGGTTCAAAAGCCACCGACAGCTTGACTAACTTATTGCAATGTTCAAACAAGTGTTTGATCGTGTTCATATTTTCCATGTAAGCAACGATTAAGTTCAATGTGGTCAGATTTCTGAATCTAGAAATAACGTTAATCAGCATCATATGCATGAGGTCATCGGATTTATTTCGATCTTCGTATCCACCAACAGTGAACTCTTTGACTTGGCCAGTGGTCTCTTCGTCCATAATTTTGATTACATTTTCCATGCATTCATCGACTCGATCCAATTTAATTGATGTCAAATTGTTGAAGATGTTCGCTTGGCTTAAATCTTCATTCGGTATGAACGGACATTCGATATCACATTCGTAAAGTTCCAAATGTGTGAGTTTTGGACAATTGAACATAGTGAAAACACTGAAATCAACGGAGTGGATGTCTTCAAGCACCAACATAGTCAAATTCGGGAATTGATTGTTCTTCTTCATAAAATTGACTTCAGTGCGACCTTTCATAACGTCTACTTGCGATTTTCGTATGTGGAGTTCAATCAGTTTTTTACCACATTTTGCCATCAAACAATTCCAAAATTCTTTGACGGGTTTGCTTTTGGATGCCGGTGTCTTGAGCACCAATCTCGAAATATCATCACCAAAACGACGGACTGTATCCTGGGCCAGTGTCAATTTATCCATATCAATTTGAAAAAGCTGCTTTGAAATGTGCTCTTGAACTTCCCGTCTCGTTCTTTGGCACGTTTCATACAGAGCACGATGACTCTCACCATCCAAAAATTGGGCAATTTTCTGGAAGCATTTGTCGGGCAGTTCCAAGATGTGCGTGCGTGACAAACTGCGATCTGCTTCGTATCCAATCCAATGCATTAGCCGACCATCTTTTATGATTTTCTTCTTGGTTATGATAGTCTTTTCATATTGATCCCAAACAATTTTGGCGTAGCTACGATCTTTGACAACTGTGTTGAAACGTTCGAAAAAATCCAAATCGAACGAAAAATTCTTATTTACCCGATAGGAATGTACGATTTGCACCATAAAACTGACCAGATTTTTACCCTGAGCAAATAATTCCAGAATATTTTCCTGCGTCAATGTGACCTTTTCATCATCACGAATGCGAAGCGAAAATAAATTCGGCAGACGACGCAGCAAAATGAGGAGTAGTTTCATATTCAACTTGCGGCCAAAGATCTGAAATGAAAAAAAAACGTTTAATGCTACCTCACAAAGTTGTTCATCACTCAGGTGGACAGTAGTGATGGCTTCGAACGTTCGTTCGTTCGACAATTTAAAAAAAATATTTTTTGTTCGTTCGTTCGTTCGTTCGACATTCATTTTGTTCGATGTTCGGTCCGAACAAAGTTTTTTTTATTTCGAAATCTCCCGAATAAAATTGGTATTACTATGAAAAATTATAATAAAAGCTAATAAAAGCATGAGCTGTAACGATTACATTATAAATTTGATCAATATATCGAATTTTCTGATGTAAAAAATTTTTGTTCGGACCGAACATCGAACAAAATGAATGTCGAACGAACGAACGAACAAAAAATATTTTTTTTAAATTGTCGAACGAACGAACGAACAAAACCTTTTTTTAAAACCATGTCGAACGAACGAACAAGCGTTCGAAAGTGTTCGACGCCCAACACTAGTGGACAGTCCACCGTGGACTAATCATCCGTTGTCATTTTCTTCACACATTTATATCTAGTTTTAAATTGTTCAAGCATTTTACTTACATCAAGCCTGATAAGTTGCCTGAATGCGCAAATGACATCGATGACATCGCCTCGAATTTCGCATTTATAATCCATTTTGACAGGCATCACTTCCAAATACCGAAGATTTTCACAGCCCCGAGCCAGTTTCTGCAAAATACCAATGATTGTTGAATGGCCCACGGAAATTTTTAGCGATTCCAATTTCTCCATTTTGATTGCCTCCAATTCACTTGAAAATGCGCCATCAAGTGTGATTAGCTCCAACAGCTTGAGTCCTTTGGCTGTATCATGCATTTTATCCAAAACGTTAAGCCCAATTTTTTCACATCGCACCAACGAGATTTGTTGCAGTTGTGGATTTTTCGCAACGAACTCATGGATGTCTGGCTGTTGGAATCCTTTAACACGAATCGCTTGGAAGCAAATCAACGTGGGATACTCGTTGAGAGTCCACTTTGAATTTTTCATCTTCATCTTATGCAGTGTTAAATGTGTTAATTTCGAGAAGATTGGAATCATGCCCGTCAAACTGATCGGAGCCTCTTCACCGTTCAACGTTACATTCAACTTCTTCAAAGCGATGCATTTTTGTTCGATCGTTCGAAATAGCCAATGATTTCGTACCATCTTCGAGCAATGCATAAAATCAATGTGCAAATTCAGGTTCAGCGCCGTCATTTTGTCGCCAAAAGTGTTGAAAAATGGCCAATACGGTCTCGGTTCTTGCGTTGCATCGTCCGAATTTACGATCACCACGTAGTATTGGTTCAACGATTGACCGTTGTACTTCAAAGCGAATGCATCTCTTGCAACCGCTTTGAATCGCTTGCACACTTTGGTTGCGGTAAACAAATCGGTATCGTTTAGATGGACGAAAATTTTCGGCAAAATTTGATCCGAAAAATTCAGCAAATTGAACTCATCCGTGTCCATGAACTCGGCCATTTTTTGTTGTTGTTGATGAATACTATATTTCTGAAGAAAAAAAAAGTGACAAGAAATATGAATAAGTAAACACTTATGATAACACATTAAACATCTTATCAGTTGAAAAAACACAATCACCAGAGATTCATGCTCAATTTCTGAACAATTGATCACATATTTCTGCATTTTAATACTCACCAATAAAAAGATATTCGTCAACTGAAATCGAAAGTTTTAAAGGTCAAACACTAATAACGATCGCTCAATATAACACGTAGATCACTTGAAACTGCAAGGTATCGATCGTAGCACACAACTTCAGACTTTTTCTGGAATGTCATTTATCCCCCATTGTAGCGAGCGTCTTACACAGTATTTTAATTTGTTATCAATATTCAAGCAAATGCTGCCTTTTTAGGTTATTTTATTTAATTTTGCGATTACTCAGATTATCCATGATTGTGGAATATTGTTGTTTACTTCAAGACAGACGCACATCGATTTGACAAAATGAAAAAAGAAACCATGACAGTAGTGTCAAACGGAATTTGACAGTTCTGTGATAAGAACATGCAACAACACATGTGTGAAAAGGAGAACCACTCAGCGTTTGCTCAAATACATGACCGGCGTACGCATGGCGGGCATTTGTTTTGAATGTAAATTTCTGCACCATATGACAAAGAGAAAGAATAACGAAGCGTTCACTTTTTTCTTATTCCTACTTCATTAAATTACAAACCATTCGATGAAAATTCCATCAGATCCATAACATTGGAGTCGATCACTTTGCTCACAAAAGTAGTTCTATGTTCTCTGTCGTGAATTTCAAAACTCTAGGCTGAAGAAAATACTTACTTTTTTCGTAAAGAAGATTGTTCAAGTGTACAAATAGATCTAAGGTCAATTGAAAACTGTCAATTGGGCCTCTTTATATAATCTAAACAAGTTTTTGGGCTTCAAGTGGACAAAAATTAGTCTCCACTTGATTGGAAATGCATAATAATGAAATGCAGTGTCCCGTTGTTCGAGATAACCACCTCAAGCCAGTCACTAACTCAGTAGAAAAGTTATTAGTTATGTTTACTCGTGGTTATTTACCACTTTTTCACACGGAGTCACATCTCAGACTGGCGTCCTCGGCTATAAAGCTGGCTAATTTTTGGTTCACGTTTAGTTAAAGCGATTAAATGTAAAAATAATCTCAAATGATGTGAAACGATTCAAATGGAATTTTTTTTTAGCAAAACAAGCACATTGCGTTCATATATTTTTTTCAGTTGTTGAAATCCAATGTAGCTTTTAAGTTTATTGGTATAACTTTAGTTTATTCGCTTTGAACAACGGTAGTTTTTTCGGAAACGTACAAACCGTCCAAGAATTTACGGATATCCTTGTTTTTGACGGTTGTCGATTGTTGGATGAGAGCAGCTGAACCAGATACGGCTTCGATGTCGTTGCCTTCGAGGATCAATTCATCCTTTTGTTTTGTTGAGTTGACAACTGTCACACCTGGTGCCATTTCAACGCGACGAATGTATTTTTCGCCCAAAAAGTTACGGATTTCAATGACCGTATTGTTTTGAGATGTAACGCAGTTGATGGGGAAATGCGCATATACAGCACGCATTTTGTATTGGAATCCTTTGGTTACACCTACAAAATAAACAAACGAGAGAAAAAAAACGAAGAGGTTATGCACTGCACAAAATAATAAAATTTGGGACAAAAAAATTCGATGGTGTGGTTCAATGTTAAGAGAAAAAAAAATGGTTTCACTCGATAATTTGTTAACATGCTCTGAAAAAATGCTGCCAAAGCATTATGCCAAACACATTTCACTAACCAACCCATTTTTTTTCCCATTTCTCATTCAAGTTACACACACTCACCTTTGATCATGTTAAGGATGTGCGAGCACACGGTACGAACGGCAGCCAATTCCTTTTTGGTTCCAAACCATTTCTCGACCTTCAATGTACGTGGTGATGACATATGGATATCCAAAGCCAAGTGCTTGAAGTTGCGCTTCAAAACACCACGCGGACCTTTGATTGTCACAATACGTGACTTGACGGAGGCTTCAATACCCCGTGGGATTTTCACACATTGATTTGAGTTGATGGTTCTCATCTTGCTCTAAAAAAATGTCAAAACGAAATCGAATTAATTATTTTGCACACGGAATAAATGGTAAAAATGTTGATTTAGTTTAAATGTGAGTGAATCTTGCAACAATTTCAGGTTAACTCTTCGCTGTAATTTTTTGCTGTGCAGTGCTTATGTTTTGTGTATATGATAGCTGTCAAACTATAATCATGACGAAAAAACGATTATTTTTCACGAAAATTTCCAAAAACACCCAAATATAATTATATCAACACATTGCTGAAAGATTCCTCTTCACATTTTTACATGATTTCGATATAAATTGTGTAATTTTTCTATCGATGATTTTCAATAAAATCTCAACGATTTTCGGAGCACTTACACGTTATTCGGCACCTATACCGGAAAGAGAAAGAAAAGGAACGTTTGACGTTTATGTCTCCTATGTCACACACTCCATTCAACCGTTTCGCTCGCTTTCGTATCTGTCATCGTGGTCATACGTAATTTCGTATGCGATTCATGTTGTTGGGCTGTTACTTAAACCGCTCGCGATTCACCGCAATTGTCGTTTTATTTAAGCAACATTTTATCAGCAAAGCTATTTAGAAAATTGATTGAATTTTTTTTTCTTGATTTTTGAACATTTCAACATTTTCTTTTCGTTTTCCAAATGTTTTAAAAATGAAAATGATCCAGTTTATATGGTCATAAATGATGTCGAAGTGAACTTGCTGACAGCGACACCTTGATGTGAAAATTGAAAGCAAATACAATGTATTTTCGAAATTATTAGTAAAAATTCAATTGATTTATTACATTTTTGTAGTTATTTAAGATTTTAATCCCAAAATGGTGCTAGTTTCTTCGTTTATCCTCGGAAAAAAATTCTCAATAAGAAATATTTGAAAAACAATCCTCTCCAAAACCTAAGCGGTTTTCGGATTTCGATTACGTTTTCCTTTTGTTCGCATTGTGCAAATGCGTAGTTTCGAAAAAGAATCACCGGTTTTGTTGGTTACTTTGACGTTTTGTACGAACACCGCATCGAAATGCTCAAAAATGTCAAACAAAGTTATCGAATTGTGTTAAGGTCTTGATCTGAATTTAATTCATAAAAGTGATATTCTGGTTTTATGCACGGGCATTCGGTTCGGAAATTGAAAATAACAAAATCCAATTAATCAAATAACCAGTGCTGAGCGCATCAATTTTATATTAGTTTGCATTAGAACAAAACATCGGGGGAAAAATGGAAACAAACACTGAAAATTTGGAGTTGAATCAAGATGAGCTAATTATACAGCAACAACGCCAAATCGAAAAAGAAGTAAGCAAACAGTCATGATTACCCGCGATTGCACAAAAAATACGCATCGTATCACCGTTTCATTTTGCCTAGTCCATAAACAGCACACAATGGTTCTTACACAATTTATCGAGTTTGCTGTGTTTTAAGGGACATTTTTCGCTTTTTGTGCTCGTTGTTTATCCGTATTCGATTCAATGACGGTTCTCGTGAAAAAAAATTCAACCAAAACAGACCAAACATACGCAAATAACACAGAACCACAGCCAATTATGCAGAATGTCAATAACTTCGGACATCACAAAATGACTCGCAACAGGAAATAATTACAATGAAACGTTTATTTTCTTTGTAGATTTGTGATACAACCCCGTTCGTGAGCGAGCTACAAGATTTGTCCGTGTTGGATAATGAATACTCAGACGACCCCATCTATAGTTCAAAGCTAAAATATTTGAAATCGAAGTACAAGTCGATTAAAAAGACCCGACCAGATGGCAATTGCTTTTTCCGTGCATTTGCCTATGCCTATCTAGAGTATTTGGTTAAGAATAAAGACGATTATGAACCGTTTCGCCAACTGTCCGAAGAATCAAAGGATCGACTTATCAAATTGGGCTTTCCGCAATTCACACTCGAAGACTTTCATGACACTGTAAGTGGATTTTTATGTGCGTTTCTCGTAGCCATTGCTATTGGCAAGGAGTTATTGCTAATTTTATTGACTACACGCATTTTGACCTTTAGCGAAGTTATGATTTTTTTTTATTTCGTTAACGATGTCAAGGTGATAAAAATATGTCTATAGACATAAAAGACATGAATGTTATTTTTATATGTTAAGCCTATTTTCATGTTAAGTCAACTGTTAACCTATATTCTTAAGAATCCAAATTGCGTTCTTTGTATGACACTCAATATTAATTGCCATTCAATTCTCGTTTAGTTTATGACCGTAATTCAGCAAGTTGCGCCGAATGACAATGAAGAAGAAACGCTCAAAGAGTTGCATCGACTGTTTAATGATCAAGGCCATTCTGACTATGTGGTCGTTTATTTGCGCCTAATAACATCGGGCCAGTTGCAAGAGGGAGCCGATTTCTATCAAAATTTCATCGATGGCAATTGCACAATGGAAGAGTTCCGGCACCAAGAAGTCGAACCGATGTACAAAGAAAGTGATCACATCCACATTATCGGTGAGTATATTTGTGTGCATGTCACACACTGAGTTCTTGCCTAAATGTTTGCATAGGTGTATCGTGAAATTGCAATTATTTCATAAAAAAAAGACTTGACAAGATTTTGTTTTTCAACTTGAACACACTTTATTTACTTGAAAAATAAAAGACTCGTCTGAAATGCTTTTTCTCGAATATATATTTTTAAAAAAAAGTCTTGAAGATACTTTTTAAATGGATAAATAAAATGATTCGTACATCTCTTTTCGTTGCAGCTCTGTGCACCGCACTGAATGTGGGCGTACGTGTGGAGTACATGGATCGCGGTGAGGCCGAAGGTGGCCAGGTGACCTCTCACGAGTTTCCCGATGGTCTCAAACCAAAAGTGTATCTTCTATACCGGCCAGGACACTACGATATCCTTTATCCCAACTAAAACAAACAAATACAACCAAACAATTTTCTATTCTTATCACAATAAAAGAATTCGTTGCATTCATTTTTGAAATAAAACGTTCAAGCAAACGAATAAAAGACAAGCAAACTGGGAGACAGAGAGAATCAAGAAAAATGGAATGAAATTGTAATTTACAGCTACGAAGAGAAACAGCAACAACAACAACAAAAATGAACCTATTAAATTTCTTTATTACAACGAAAAATTCGCGCTAAATTCTGTGTCGTGCTGTGTATGCATTTTGTAGGCAATAAATAGAAAAACTGTTGAATGCACGTTTACGCTTGCGATAATTTCATACGAAAGGTAATGAACTATACGGTGATAATAAATTGTGATGTTAAATCGCATGGTGAGTATTATTATTTCTCTTTTTCGGTGCGATTGAATTGCATCGCGTTCAAAAATAGCTGGACGTGCGAATATTTTAGTTTTTGATGCGCGTTTTTGTGTTGACCACAGCGCGAATAGATTTTACGCCCCGCAATAACAACCACAACAAAAACAACTTCAAAATCATTTTATTTACTACAAAACGGCATTTCAGCTGATATATTTTTTGGAATTGTTTTCGTCGTTTTTTTTTCTTGACACGCTTCGATTTCTGTATATCGTGGAACGCGCATTCGGCGCGCGCATTCTCTCTTTCTCTACCTGTTCCCATGTCATTTTACACAGGCGAAAGCGTTTTAAGACACCACTCGCGCCGCAATTCTCGTGTCCGAACACACTTGACTTGGTTCGTTCAATACGAGTCAGCACATATAGAAAGAAGGTTTCGTATGGTATAAACAAGTAGCAATACGCGGCGTTGTCGTTGTCGTCATCAACGTTGTCGTTATTGTTATCGTCCAAATCGAACTGAACGTGTGCGACCGAACGATTTAGTCTATTCAAAGCGTTCGACCGCGTCGCTTGGGTCTGTGAACCATTGACTATGTTTTAAAATATTCACTGTACGTTATTAGCTAGAAAAGTGTGTGATCGGCCAATAAATAAAGTTGCATATTTGGTGCGGGCGTATTAGAATATCTAAATGCGTTTGATTTAAAGGTTAAAGAGATAACTTTGGGATTCTAATTTGCAATTCACACATTCAGTCTTTTTTGTTCGGATGAAACTAACAACACAGTGGATTTAGAGACACGTTCTATACTCTTGATAATATCCATTTGGTTGATCGCATCATTTGTTGATTCGTGTTATCGATGCCATAACCGTGATGTTGCTATCAAAACGTTTTCCAGTTTACGTAGCCAGTGAAAGCAAGTGTTATATGCATAGTAGGCTTATCGACTGAGAGAAAAAACCAATCTGCTAATTGAACTTCGAATAAAGTGTATAAATAAATATCAACGAGTTACGATATTTCCAAATTGTAAAATAGCAGCTAAACCAAACTCTGACAGCAACAGCAAACGATATTCATGTGACGTTTTGCGTGTTAATGGATCAATAACAACAAGAGCCACCAAATCTTTTTTAATTGCAAATAACTCACGTAAGTATGTGAATTGGTAAATTCATCAATCGATTTTATGGCTAACGGGCGTCGAATTATGATAATCTATTCAACGATATGACTTATTAATAAAAAAAAACGAAGATACAACTGAGGAATGGGCAAATTTACAAATGTTTTACATGTGCGACGATGAGCACGACGATAATCGTACAACAATCAAGACGCCAATGTTTACCGTTCGTAATTGCAAAGGTTGAATGTCAACGCATTATCATTCAAATGACATTTTAAACTACAGTGAACCAAAATAGACAGGAAGAAAGAAAGGAACAAAAACGAAAAAAAGAGAAAAAAAATCAATAGAAAAAAGTAGCTTACTCGCAGCAAAGCGAAAAAATTTTTTTTAAAGAGAATTTTATTCAATGAAAAACATTTTTTCGTGTGTGTCCTGGAATCAAATACGGATAATAAATTAGCGATTGGAACTGATATCAATGAGATTGAATTACGCATTCACGTGTTTGTACATGGGAATTGAATGAAATCGGCCTCAAATTACCAGTTTCATTAAACTTTTTAATCGTACACAAAACGTTGTCGGTGCACAAATGGTTCAACGTTGAGTGAAAAATGAAATTCCATTAAAAAAAGTCTCGTCATATTAATTTTTTGCTCATTGTTTTTTCCGTTGCTTCTGCGGTTGTTGTTCCGTTGATTGACAATAATCATTCAGTTATATTTGAGTGTGCATAATTGGCAAATATTGTGACAGCGTGCGCACTCGCTGATTTGGACGAATTCCATCACAACGGGTCACGTTTTATTGTTGCTGTTCCTTATTCACTACGGGTACGGTAAACTCGTTCAAATTTTATTCGAAACTAAACACGTACACGTAAGAAAAATAAGACATAAGGTGCTCGCGATCAACGTTTCACGTCGGAATAAATGTGCGGCGAAGGCAAAAAGAAAGAAAGATTTGTTCAGTGAAAGGAACGTTTCGTAATCACTAAAGATGAAAAAAAGGTCAAAAAACTTTTTTCTATTTATTTAATTAGTTATTATCTGTTTTAGATGGATTTAAATGGTTTAGTTTTGTACAAACAATCAACAATAATAGAACATGATGTTTGTTTTCATCAAGCGCCACAGCCAAAACATATTTTAGAATAGAAAAAAGTGCGTTAAACAACAAAAATCACACAACATTTGACGAAAAGGCAACAACAAAACGCTGTCTTTCGATAGCTGGGGGATTATGGGCTATTAAGTGGGAGGTGATTACACACCGCTTAATTTGTGGCAATCACAAGATATAAGATCATATCAGGAAAAGCGACACAGCAAACACAATGAGCCAAAAATAAAATGCTTTTTTTCTCTTTCACGATCGAGAATTTTTTTTTTCTTTTCGAAATTGTAATTTTCCGTTTGTCTTTTCTAATTTTTGAATCGACATTTTTTGCCTTCGATTCTTTTTTTTCTTCTTTGCCTTTTGAATGGGGCTCATAAATTGTGGTCAGCACACAGTTCAGGCATTTTGAAGACAAATAATTTGATCTCCGTGTCGATTCAGTTTTTGTTGCTCTTCGATTCGTTTTACGCTTCAGCAAAAAGCAGCATCTAATCTCGTTTGACGTACATATATAATAAGGCACCAAACGTCTAAAAAGTAACACACGCGTGTGATTTCCTTTCAATTAATTTATGATATTGTTTAAATTAAAACTCGGGCCAATTTGTGAAACGGAATTTTATCATGAATACAAAAATAGGCTGGTCTTCGAGACTGATGAGCTTCGACTTCAACCGCAAAAAGAGAGATTTTTCTGGCGATTTCAAAGAAGGCCGTAATAGAATTGATATCAGTTTCGTTTTAATTAAATTACCGATTTATTCATAGATAAACATCATAGATACATATTCATTTTCCGTTGTCGTGCTTACCAATTAAGCCAAACTGGTCGCATTTTTTGTGTGTCTTTCTCATTTTTCGTTTGTTTTTCTGCTCGCTTGTGAGCATTTTTTTCTCGCTTTCCTGTGGTATTTTATAGTAGTTTCTTCTATGCATGTCTATCCAAGTTCCTTATGCTAAAATATCTCATTTGCATGTATGCAGAAGATAGATGCTCAGATTTTGGTATTATATAGCAAGTCATCAGCGTTCGTCAGATGTTTACAAACATTTATTTTATTCGTGGATTACTCAAGACAAAAATTTATAGCGACACAATTAAAACAAAGCAACGAAGAACAACGGCAATGTTTTAAGGGAAAACCTTTGAATTGTTGTTGCACTGGAATCGAATAAATTGTTGTGTCAGCATCGTTGTTTTTATTGCTGACACGCAAATGAATCAAGTTCATGCCAAAGTACGTAAATTCTAAGTTGATATATTTGGGCTTCTATTTCATTCTATCGCAATTCCCAAAGCATAGCCACATGGAAGCAATCCCATGTGTGTGCGCACGCAAAGCCACACTGATGATAATATTAGCCTAATTGCCGTCATAAAAAAAGCCACTAAGTGTGAATTCTAGTAAAGCAGAATCGAGCTGCGCTTCAAATTGCAAGTAATCATTTAGCAATCATATTGTGCGAATATATAGAGTAGCCCATCGCGACCGACTGTAAATTTATGATTTGTTCTTTGTCTCTTGCTCACTTTGGCAAGTCCGTTGGCGCAAAGTGTTTCAATATTTTCAATGCACTATCGAATACACTCACAACACCGCGATAGTCTCGATAATTTAACGTCAAACCAACAACGCCACACATTTTGACGGGAACTACATTGATGAGTGTATTCAATGCAGCATCAAACATAGTCGTCATTGTGTTGTGTGGTGAAATAATAATTATTATTTGAATTTTAAATAAATAAAATTGTTTCGATTCTGCCAAATGAAATTGTGCAAATATTCCGCTGGCACACAAGACAAAAAATTGCTTTCTTTCGGTAGATTAAACCCGTATTTAAAAAAAAAATGTTTTTCTTCCATTTTCAATTGAGTTGTATGAGAGAAAATTACGGTTTTATATGATATATTGGAGTTTCCATAATTAAAAAAAAACACAAAATGTTAGATTCAAAATAGAAACCCCCGCGACTCACAATGAGTCGTTAAATAACAATCAACATAACGATTGGCATTAGTTTTTACGATACTCATTTGTCGATACTCAATAAAATGTTGTTTTGATATATAGAAAAATGAGCACGAACCAAAATGCGTTTCATATGCGGATGCTGTGTGGCGACGGCGTGTATTTTTGGAATTGCGAGTTGGTGATAGAAAGCGAGAGGGGCTGAGAATTTCGAAGGAAGTGAGCAATATATGAGATTTTTTGTCGTATCGGCACGTATTGACCGTCTATATGCTGACTCACATAATATGCTAATTTGCTAATACTGATTGAATTCTGAGAATAAATTGCACACACATTTTGTATGATAACCTTTCGATGGTAAAAGTCAAGTTTGAAGTGTGCAGGATTTGCATATGCTAGAGATCCGTCAAAATTAAGGCATTGATATTTTGAGACTTTATGCCACTGAAGTCAGTACAAAAAAGGCAGATTTCGAAGCTTCTGTTACATACGCTTCCAATGATAAAAACAAATCCGTCTTGATTCACTTTTTTCTGTCTTGTCGTTCCCACCGTAGCCGTTTTTGGATAGTATTTGAAGTTGCCGTTCATCGAAATCCATATTCAAAATACCAAAAAAAAACCTGTTGCGAAAATATGTATCTGATCGGTGTCTCATCACTTATTTACTTGCCTATTATTCTTTTCACAGATTTATTGCCAAAAAATCTATTTGATGCCTGATTTATATCTGGTGTATTTTTTAAATAATTAAAACTTTCGGATCTTTATCTAAGGAATGCTATAAATCCACATTGCCATATGTAAATAATGTTTTGAACCAATTGGTCTATTTATTACGCATCAGTTTTTACGATTTATTTTCATTCAGCCCGGAAGAGTTTATGTGCTGACAAATTCATTTCCAAACAAACAACATTAAACGCCAATCTCGATATTTTATTATTTTTCTCTCTTCATTTACAGTAGCTAATTTACCGAAACTAATGGAAATGTGCTGGATATGGATAAGAGTAATGATTGTTTTTCTTCTCGCTGGTGCTACAGTATTACGGGCCGAACGCTGTTTGACATCGAACGACCGACGTATGTATTTTATCAAATATAAATCGTTTTTCTCCGTACCAATTTGCATCTAGATGAAAAAACACAGAAGAAAAAAAGATTAACGGGTCTGCTATATATTTTGTGTCAACACTCAATTCAATTGCAATAACATGAAACAAAACACTGCGCTGGTCTGTGGTGTGGCTTGACCGCTACCACATATATGTCACACCCATCGACATTGGCACAAGCACATACAAGTGTCCTATTGCAAATATGCAGACAGATTATGTGCTAAATGATGAACCATAAATCATATTTTTTCTGAGACATTTTTTTTTTTTGCATTTCGTTCACACAGGAGACACTCGAGCCAAATTGGCGTCGGCATACGGTGACGAAATTGTCATTCAAGTATCCAATAACGTGCTGCATCAAATTAGCTCGCGTGTATTTGGTATACTCGCTCGAGAAATTCTAAACTACAATGTCGTCTATGAGGACATTCAATTCTCACAAGATTCCATGCAATTGAATGAAAAAGAGAAACTCTTCGAAACACTCGAACAAATTAGAATGTATGTGTGAATTGGTCTGTTTTATTTCTAGCCTATTTCGCATTTGTTTGAGAATTTGTTAACGTTTTTGTTGCATTCATTTATTTCAGGTCACGTCGACCAGTATTAAATTTAGGTGTTTGGATGCCAGCCGACTATCATATGCCACCACCTGGTAAAATTCTTCCTTCTTTTTCTCTCGATCGAGCAATTCTTTCAGAGTTTTAATTTTTCGTGTGTCTTTTCTGACATTTTTTGAATATTTTTATTTTTGAATCATCGCCAACAGGTGTTGAAATGGTGGGTCGTTTTAGCACCGGACGCTTTGGATGGTTCATACCGAAGAAACTCATTAGTAATTTGCCAGAAGACGGCTCATCACCAATCATTCCGTATACAGTGTTCAAAAATAACAAAGCCACCGAATTCAATCGATTCGTTTTTGACGAACGCATTTTGAAACAAGTGTAAGTCAACCGGATATTTTGACATTTTGACATTTTCTTAATCTCTTATTTTTGTATTCAGTTTTATGACTTTTTCTATTTTACTATATTTTTTTGGACTTTTTGTATTGATTTTTATCACCCATTAATTGATGTCGAACATGGAAGATTTCTGATAATTTTTTATGGCTTTTTTCCAACCAATTTTTTTTTTGATTGAACGTGTGAGGTTCTGATTTTGGTTGAAAAAAAAATTGCGTATGATATGTAAAAATTTGGCATAAAATGTTAATAACAATTTGTAGACTTAAACCAAGCCCATTATTCTAAATTGCACGTATAATGTTTTCAACCTTTGTAACGTATTTTTTCATGAACATTTAACAACATCATAATAATGATGAAATAGTATTTTATTATTGGCTAATATCCTAATTTTATGTCGATGGTTTTTTTTTGTTGCTTCGCAGTGAATCAGAAGCAGAGTATATACCAGACCAATGTCAAAGTGAAAAATGTGTAACATTATTGTCGGGTCATCAAGAAGACACGTTTTTTGTGACCGAACACATTGATGAGTTGAAATTGCATGTGAAAATTATCTGGTTTGGTGATAATCTACGATACGTGACACGAAAATTGCTCAAGCAATTCAGTGATAAGCGATCGCCACAATACCGTAAAGCATTTGTTGTTGTGCATTGGACACCATCCGAGATAATTGATGTGGATATCGAGTATGAGACAATAACCATGCCAAAATGCGAACAGTTCAGTAGCGAAGATAGTAAAAATACAATGTGCAAATATGAATTGACACCGATTCTGAAGTACAGTTCGAAATTGTTGAAAAAATCCACGCCCGTCTATTCCGTGTTCAGTATTATCAATTTTGAGCGTAAAAATGAAACGCACCTACTACAAATGTATAATAATATGACCGATTTGCAAAAGCCAATGCCACCATCGGAAGTAAAATCTGATAACAGCCATAATGATAACCGTGTCGACGATAAAATATTAAATAACGCAAGTGATAAAACAAAATTGTATGATGAAATTGCGTGCAGATTTGTCAGAGAAAAAGAGCAAATTTTCCGTGATTTGGCGAATTTGCCGGGGCAAACAACGCGAGAGAAGCGACAAGTTTTTATCGGCGGTATCTATCCAAAGCAAGAAGAAGCGGAAAATGAACACTTTGGTAAGGAGAATTTAATCAAAAGATTATATCTATTTTATATTTTTTTTTGCGTCTAAATTTGTTATTATCTCTTGAATAAATTAGGCATAAAAAGTGCCGTCAAACTGGCTCAAAAAGATATCAAGAAAAATGGAACCATTTTGCCAGATATTGACCTGGTGGTGATCGACAACAACGATGGCTGCCATTTGGACACGGTGATGCGGACATTTATCAACTACTACGTTCGACCGGATGGTGTCTTAGGCGTGCTTGGACCACCTTGCTCTGAAACAGTTGAACCAGTCGCAAGTAAGCTAATTTCGCCTATTCTATTAATAGAAGATAAGGGTGATGACCGCGTTATGATTTTTAAATACATCGCACTCCATATCCAGCATACGAATCTCATTTATACAGATTCTCTCATAACCTTGTCTAGGGTATACATCATACATGCGCGCTTTTGTCTGTTTTATTTTTTCTCTTGTTTCTTTCATTCGCTCTTGGAATCACATTTCAAGTTCGAGGCCAACACATTTCGAATGTGTCGAAATGTATCTCTTTGTTTACAAAAATAGATTTAAGTAGACAAGTGCGTCGCTATTGCAGTGAATGCGATGTATGAAATGAAATTAATTATTATTTATGCAGATATATTCGATTGAATGGCAAAACAAATGAGCAAGCGACAATTGGTAAACAATTACCACCAAATTTTTGGTGGATTTTTTTCTCCTGCATTCGACCGATAATTGTCGAACTAAAGAACGTAGTATTCAATACTCAACCGAAAAAAAACAAAATAACAAAAACAACCGAAACAATCGCTTATTATTTCTATAATCTGAACCTTGCACCTGAGCAGACGAGGCGATGTTGTCTTATCCGTTTCATCACGAATGCGATGCACATTTACGTTCAACGCACCGGCCTTATGCAAACACACCGTTTTTGTGTATGCACGTTGATTGACAAAATGAATGACAAAACACAAAACAATCGTTTCAACATTTCAATTTCTTTTTTGCTACTCATGGCTTGGCTTGCTGTTGCTTTCGTGACCATTTTTTCGTTCATGCAGAAAAAAAATACGACAATAACAAAATTCGTCGTATTGTTCTGCTTTTTTTGTCGCATTTTGTATGGATTTTGGTGCAATGTACTCATTGTAATTTGTTTTCGTACAACCGAAATCAAAACGTTTTCCTTTCACATTTTTCCGGTGCTGAATTAATGTAAACATATTTTGTTTTCGTAATTTTCACTTAAAAATCATTTGCTACAAAAACTAAATTCCATTCTACATTTTTTGTTTTTTTTTTGCGTCGTACACAGGTTTGTCGAAGCACATTCACATGGCCGTTATTTCTTACTCAGCAGAAGGTGTTTCTTTTAAAGACCGCGAAAAATATCCATATTTCTTTCGAACAATCGGAGAAAATCGACAATATGAACATGTTTATGTACAGCTACTGAAAGAATTAAATTGGCATCGGGTCGTTGCTTTCACCGAAGACGGACAAAAATACACCGAATACATTTCACAATTGGAGAATAAACTGAAAGATCATGGCATCGAATTAACCAACAAAAAATTTTCAAAATACTTTAGCCCAAACAAAATGAAGAGCGTAAGTTTCGTTTCTTTTATTCGAAATTAACACGTTTATTTGTTCCAATTCTATACTTGAGCTGTTATTTATGTAAACGATTGCAATTTTCATTTTGACGCTGGTTCTGTTTATGAATTTTTAATCATTGCAATGTTTGCCTGAGTTTTAATAAATGTTAAATTGAAAAAAAAAATTTCTGTTTAACCCTTTGACGACCAATGGGACACATGTGTCCCATTTTGTTTTTCATCTGTAATAACTACACTTTTAAACCAATTTTAGTAAAATTGGTTTCGTTTGAAAGAGAATTAATGTAGCTATCAGGAAGTACCATAATATTTATTGTAAACGCAATTGGATAGAACACTCTAAAGTCAAAAAATCTTAACTTTTTTTTCAACTTTCTCCAAATGCTATATAGTTTTAACGGTGGAACTTTTAAAGCTGAAAATTTGGAATAATGTGCGAAATGTCCATTACTTTCCAAAAATCATCGACTTTATTTAGAAAAAACGTTTTCTCCACATTCTATTGCGTTTGGCGCGATGGGACATATGTGTCCCATTGGTCGGTAAAGGTAAATAAATACCCCGTATTTCCCTGTATTTTGGCCATTATTCGCGAATTTTCAAACACAAAAATTTACAAAAATATCATTAAATTCGTGATTAAATGGGCACAACAAAGCACAATTCAAACCATTTTCGGTTCAAAACAATTCTGAATATTTTAAAAACGGAAAAGATTTTACACGTAGTTCTTATGGGAGACATATTTTTTTCCATACAAAGGTAGTTACCGTTACCGACCAATGGGACATATATGTCCCACCTTTTTTTCATATTTCTAGTTAAAAAAATTAATTTTTGATAACATTTTTATTATGGTTTTTGGGGTCGCTGAGCACGAATCTGCAATCAGAATTGCAAGATTCCCATCCGTTCAATCTTGGTCGTCAAAGGGTTAAACATATGAAAGCATGTAAACTTGAATTAACCCAAAAAAAATCGATCTAATGCCCAATCAATCTGATTCCATGGATTTTTTTTCGATTTCCAGTCGCTGTTGGACTTGAAGAACAAAAACTCAAATATAATTATCGCTGATATTTACGACGAACAAGCCGGAGTGGTCCTTTGTGAAGCGTACAAATTGAAGGTAAATTTTATTTTCTTATTATTTTATCAACCCTCCCCAAAAGATCCTTCTTGGTAAGAAGCAATGAAAAATTGCGATATACAGTTTGAATTGAACCAAATTGTCAATCACGTCATCGAAAGACATTTAATTTGTCAAACAAAAATCGTGATTTTTTCATTTCTACTTTTCTTGAAATTTCAAACTGCTGAACACTTTTTACGGGGAAAAAATTACGAATTGAAAATTGGATATTCAAGACAAACGACGTCTTTGAGTACGAAAAATTTCGAAATAAATTGTAATATTACATTTTTAAATATTTCACGAAAAAATCCTCAAAATTCAATTAAAACCGTCTTCATATTGCATTTTAAATTCATTGCATTACTGAAAAAATTTATTTCAATTTGCAGATGTCAGCAAAGTATGGCTATGTTTGGTTCCTTCCGATTTGGTTGGATAAAAATTCGAAAGAAATTTATGAGTCGACCAATGTTAATTGCACAAAAGAACAAATAGACGAGATGTTGGATGGTCACTTTTCCTTAGCGCATCAATCGTATGCTGCCGAACAGTCAGTGATGGAAACAAATCACACGGTTGGTGAATGGAAAGAAACATACGGCCATTCGAATATTTCCCATTATGGTGGTTATGCATACGATGGCGTATGGGTATATGCATTGGCTTTAGACAAGTTGATCAAAGAGTCTCCGAATAATTTAGCGACACTTCACACACCAGCCACAACTGAACGATTCATAAAGATAATTGCGGAAACGGATTTTAGTGGTGTATCTGGGCGTATACAGTTCGGTGAAGGTGGATCGCGTTTCTCAAATATCAATGTGTTGCAATGGGTGAATAATGAGAATCGAATAGTTGGCACATTCGAACCGAAAGTCTCTGAATCGAATGGTACCCGAATCATTCAAGGCGGAAAGTTCAATTTCATTTCATCAAATATCACCTGGTTAACGCCAAATGGTGCTATTCCACACGATGGCACGAATGTGTGCAGTGTTAGTGGTCTCGCCAATTTGCTTGGTTTCGATTGTTCACAAACATTGCTCCTCATAACAGCATTGTTGTGCTCTCTGCTGGTAATACTGGTATCGGGCGCTTCGTTCATATTCTGGAAGAGACGATATGATAAGAAGCTCAAAGCGTCTGCAAAGTTAATGAGAAATTTCGGCATCGATTTACTTTCAATGTCGCCGGTGCATTCAAATACCCTGGACAAATGGGAAATTTCAAAAGATCGAATTGTCATCAATCGTCGATTGGGAGAAGGTGCGTTCGGTACAGTTTATGGTGGTGAAGCGCAAATCGGTGATCAAGGTTGGACGGCTGTGGCTGTGAAAACACTGAAAAAAGGCTCCAACACCGACGATCGACTGAATTTTTTATCCGAAGCCGAGGCTATGAAAAGATTTGAGCATTCGAATGTGGTCAGTCTGCTTGGCGTTTGTCTCCAAACCGAACCGATCTATGCCGTTATGGAATTCATGCTGTACGGTGATTTGAAGACGTTTTTACTTGCTCGCCGACATTTGGTGAATGAAAAAATATCCGATGACTCGGACATTTCGCCGAAACGATTGACTATGATGGCATTGGATGTGGCAAAAGCGTTGAGTTATTTGTCCGAGATGAAATATGTGCATCGGGACGTTGCCTGCAGAAATTGCCTCGTGAATGCGCAGCGTGTGGTGAAGTTGGGTGATTTCGGAATGGCGCGATCAACATCGGAGAATGATTACTATCGTTTTAGCCGGAAGGGAATGTTACCAGTTCGATGGATGGCACCGGAATCTCTGAGCCTTGGCAAATTCACGCCAGCGTCGGACATTTGGTCGTTTGGCGTGTTATTATTTGAAATAATTACATTTGGATCGTTTCCATTCCAAGGTATGACCAACAATCAGGTGCTTGATCATGTGAAAGAAGGCAATACATTGACAATTCCGAATGGAATACGGCCACAGTTGGAAGGGCTCATGAAAGCCTGTTGGAATATCTCGTACTTAAAACGGCCCACTGCCATGGAAGTGTCCGAGTTCATCACAAGCTATCCAAAACTAGTGACTGCTTCACTCGATGTACCTTTGGCATCCGTACAAATTCCCGAAACCGATAGTGATCAACTGCTGTTATTACCTGGTCTCAAGAAGACAAATAACGACGAAGATGATGAGCCAAACGAACAAACTAGTTTTACAACAAGCAATCGCTTGAGAATTCCCAATGGGATAACGCTGAGCGAATTCAATGCAGCCAACGATGACTACACGATCTCGTGTCCAGCTACTCCCAGCATTACATACAATCCCGTTGAGCCACTTTTGTCAATGTACGAAGATGCCAGCAACGATAGCCCCTTCCGATATGTTCCAATGTACGGCGTCAGAAATGGCAACCGCGCACTGGAATTGAACGTGCATGTGATTTAAACCTATTTACAGTACATCTAAGAATCTTAAGTTACCAAATATTCATCTTGATCGCCGAATCTACAATTATACCATAGAATCATTGTAAAAGACTAAAAACCATTTCATTTGACGCACATATTGTTTAAACAACATTTTTACAATAGTATTTACCATTATTTTCTTTTTGTAAGCATTTAATAGGCACACTTTGATAATTTCTTTATTGATAAAGAAACCAAAAACATTGAGAAAAAAAAACCAAAAAAAAGTCCAAAAACAATTTCATTTGACATGAAAGAATAAATCGATTAATTTATTTTTGTTTATTTATTAAATAATCAAAAGGAGATTCGTTCAATATATATTTTTTTATATATATATATAGGTATGAAAAGCATACAATTTTAAGTATTTCGAATAGACGGAATAAATGGTTAATAAGTTTTCTTTTTGTACAATTCTTCTAACAAGCGTTTGAGTCGGAAAATATTTTTTTTTTCTGAAATACATGCAGCGAAATTGTTAAGAGATATTTAGTTGTCTTTGAATTATGATTATTGAAATACGATTTTAGTTGCCGAATCGTTGGGAATGAATTAAAATTTGTCGGTTGCAATCATTAATCGAAATCGATACGTCACCCGACGGTGGCACAGCGAACAATTACGAAGAATCCATACTAAAAACGCTAACGACATCAAAGCAAGCCAAATGACATAGGCATATAAGCATTGGAAACGATCCGGTGACCAGAGGACAGTGTACTGTAATTCATCACCATCTGAAATGGACAAAAAATGATTTTTTTTTTAATTTTTTATTTTTATTCATTTTTGTTTTTAAAAATCTTTAATGAAAATGTAGAAGATATGGCACAATGTCGGATATCGCTGAGAAAAATGCATAAAAATATCGTCAATCATTGGCAAATAAAAGAATAAATAATGAAGGGAAAATTGAATAAAAGCCAATACATGTGAAAAAAAATGCTTCAAAAACCGACAAAAAGCCGAAAACACAGCAAAGAGAAGAGGAGGAGAAAGAAGAAGAAGAGCTAAAAATACTGATATGTAAAAGCCATTAAAGTTCTATTGATTATAAAAAAAACAGAAATTCATTAAAAAAAAAAACAACCAAGAATCCAATGATACATAGATTATTTGAATTCCCTGAAAAGTGCGCGTTCTTTCACACACAACACACCATCGGTATTGAAACTGGCAACACTGGTTTGTTGAACAACGCAAAAACTCATATAAGTGAGACTGCGAATATCATACGTACGTAATGTAAGGCTCATTCAACACTCAACGCACACAGTCAATGCATACAGAGACGTTTGACACATAGGAAAATATGGCGTAGAACGCGACATAAACCATCGCGTATGCAAAACAACCGAAGAACAGTGCCAATTTGTGTGTGTAATTAGGTAAATGCGGTTGCTGTTTATAAACATAAAGGAAATTCACACATTTTCTATTCCAAAATAGATGCAGTGCTTTGATCGAGTATTTTCGAATGATTGAAAGAAATGGCAAGTGAAGGAGGAAACACACGTATTTCCAATTGAAAAAAAGAAAAAAACAAATATGTGAATAGTGGCATATTGCAGGAAATCGCAACACAAACATAAGGCACAAACAAGAGGCTTCCAAGTCGTAAAAAAGTCGAAGTACGTAGCAAAGAAAATCGTAACTTTGTGTATATGAAATAATGCAAATCTTCCATAATAAAAATAATTACACAGTAAACAGTGCGCCCACATTCACAAGCCATGAATATCACAAGCAAACACGCATTCGAATGCAGTTAAGAATAAGAAAACAGTGATGTGCTTGAAACGGTATCGTGAAACAAAACAGTATTTTTGCAGTTAAGTTATTTAAGTATTTAAGAAAAAGTTGGAGTTTCACACAACCGTGTGAAATACGACCACAAGCCAACAAAAACTATCGTCAAAATGATGGACGAAAAGTTAATCGCTGAAGTGCAGCAACATGCCATAATATACAATCGACAGAAGAGCAGTACACTCAACGGTGACAAATGTATGACAAAAGAGCTGGCCTGGCATGATATTGCACGGAACCTGAGCACGGACGGTGAGTGACTCATGCAAATGTGTTTGAAATTAAACAAATTAATCATACAATCAACGAAGCAAAAGAAAAATGTTTAAATAAACTGATAATAATTGTTTCTTTTCCAGTGGATACATGCAAAAAGCGATGGAAATACTTGCGAGAGCGTTATGTGCAGCAGAAAAAAGTCGGCGGTTCACCGGCCAGTTATGAGCATTTATCGCGGCCATATTTAGAGAAAATGAAATTCTTGGACAATTTCATTCAGTCACGTAAATCATATCGACAAGTGTCACAATTGTTCCAGTCACCATCGGGTATGCAAGGATTCGATGGCAACGAATCGTCCAAATCGAATGGTTCGATGCGTTTGTCGGTCGGCGGTCATTTGAACAACGATTTGGACGATACATTTCCACAGTATTATTTGAATCAATTCCCACCACATGCGAATTTACGTGTAAAAAGCGAAGAGAGTCTAGTGTCTGATTTGCATCGAAAACCGAACGATATGCAATCAAGTAACAATAATATGCCATCATCATCGTCATCAATTGCATCACAAGCATCACCGGCCACTCTGATGAGCACAAGCACAACACACGATTCATCAGTCACACGGAAACGACGTCGCACCACCAGTACGAATATTAGCGAACGAAATAACTCACACAATCTCAACCATATAGAACGGACTCATGATACACACCAAAACCAAATACTCAACAATCATTTGTCCGACCATGAGGTGGACCGTAACAGTAATGATGACGACGATGATGACGCATCGGAGTCATCGCCGATAAACAATGTGCCGACTGATTTCTTATATCCATTGTACGAGCAACAGTCAACTAGAACACGGAGAGCAGCTACCGAACATGTCAATCCAACATCTTCCACATTTCCAAATCCCGTTGATCTTTTACAACCACTTTATCAACATGCCATCGCACGACAATTTCGCAACTCTGACCAGTTACTCGGCGAACTTGTCACATCCGAACTCATGAAAATGCCAAAGGACCGCAAAAAAGTGGCACAACGGAAAATCTTAGAAATTCTCTTTTTCGATGACGATTGACTCACAACTTACACATAGCATCGAACCAACCAATGTGAATTAACTACCGTTAAATTCATCGTTTCAATATAATATAATTGAACTATATTTTCTAGGGAACCAATAAATTTGAGTGATTTTCATTTTGATAAAACATTTCATACATGTATATTTTCGATACGATTATTTGACCGCTTTGTTTCTGGAATTTTTTTTTATTTTCTTTCTATAAATCATCAGCTATATATATATATATACGGAAAAAAATAATATATGAGCGAAACATATTTCCAATTGAAACAAACAAATATTTTATGAGATTTATGAATAAAACGTGAATAATTTCATAATGCGTGATAAATTAAAATCGGCGTTTGATTTAAAATTCTTGAACAAATTATGGGTGATTTTCAAATTAATTGCCCGAGGTAAGTGTCTTTTAGCACGCCCAACGCATTATACACATTACACGAAACCATCAATTAAGCGGCATTACTTGGAACGTAGGTGCATTTAAGCACTCATTACCCGCTTGCAAATCGATATTGGGTTTGTTGCACTCTCTGGTCAAATCAATTATACGGAAATACTCGACACCATAAGCTTAAAACACTTTTATGGAATCGAAATGGTGCAAAATATTTGTACCTTAAATCAAATTACGAATAGTTCGTACCTATTACAGCGTATCCATATCCAATATTGTCCACTCCCATTCGATAGCTTGATGCTGGCACTGCGATTTCTGTGAAGTTTCGATGATGTTCAGCCACATTAAAATTGTTCAAATTCACTTTGACTACGCTGTAATCGACTAGATTTGCGATATTCTGTGGAGGATATGTGATTACCCGAGATAAGTGTGAATGACCCGAAAATATTATGTTGGGCTTGAATTGATCTATTATCTGGAAATGCAGAACAAAAAACACATTAAATGGAAAAGAGCATTAAAATAAGCAAAAAATGAAGAGGAATTCAGACCAACAATTTGTAGAGAATTGAAAATATCGGTCGAAGACAAGTTTTCGACCACTAAATAGAGGTTCTCGATTGAAAAATTCGAAATTTGTACCGTTTTCATTGTAAGCCCCGGATATGACAAAACTGATAGGTGTGTTAGTACGATATTCAGCAATTTGTGTGATGCTGGTGTTGAATATGTTTCGTTGAGATCTGGATAGGTATGCGTAAGCAAATTGATGTTGAGCAAACGTAATCGATTGTTGATCACTAGCTTGCTGGTCTCATTGAAGCTACGATGAAAGCGATTCGTTTTAAATGCTGTTGCATAATCAGAACCTTCGCCTCCGATGTCATTATCTCCAGGAATGTAAAATTTTTTAATACTGGCACTTGTTTTGAACACATTTTTAAAACGATCTAAATAACGCTGGTACGCTGGTTCGGCCGCAATGCTGCCTTCATCCAACAAATCGCCAAGAAAACAAACAACATCGGGCTTTGCATAAGCATAGGCCCGCGCATATGTTTTTCGTAAATATTGATCCGAATCATGGTTTGCAATTCCACTGTAGAAACTTGTATCGAACGTTTCGCCAAGCAATTGCGGATCGGATACAAATAATATCGTCGTGCAGTTGACTAAAAGATAAGATAGCAATGCGTTCTATAATTATCCGTATTGATTTAATAGTACGTTTGACTCACCTGTTCGACATCGTATTGAGCTCCAACTTAGTCGATGCAGCGAATAGATAAAAAATTCATTGATAGATATCAATACAAACGATATGATAATAGTTGCATACAAGAAATATCTACAATAGACAGATTTAAAGCATTTTTATTGAATTTGGCACATATTTTGGATTTTAAATTTTTTCCATTTAAATCGACCAAGATATTACCGTTTTAATCGAGGAAAAAACATATTGTTCAAATAGAATTACATGACTGTTCTAATCATGTTCCATATTTTTGGCTCCGTTCTATGCAAAACTCAATGTTTATCAAACGAACACAAGAAATTCTGTGTGTTGTCAATTGTTTGGTGAATTACGTAAATGTTGCACTTGTCCATCATCCATGGTATTTCGAAACGAAATCAAATTCACCACGCATTCAACTTCGTTTCGTAGGTGGTCCGTTGACAGTTTGGTGCATAGGTAAAAGGTATTTATTTGCAGTGACCTACTGATATCTCACACAAAGTTGTTTCTCTCGTCACTCTGCACACATTTTCAGCATCCGAGAATCATATCGAGAAAATAACAGTAAATTTAACGCTTAAAATTCCGAACAATTTTGTGATAAAAAAAGTCTTTTGAACTCTTCCGGAAGCTTTTTTCTGAATCAGTCAGTTTTAGTTGAGAAATTTTACGGTTTTTTTCGTGTACAAATTCAAAATGCCACGCAAGCAATTTTTGGCGATGAAAGATGAGCCAGAAGATTCGTTTGATTTTCACGAGCTGTTTCCAGTGGTGGACGAGTGTCCATTTTCATCATTATCGCCAATCGACACCTATCCGCTTCAATTTGAGCAGCATGACATTAAATCGGAAAAGCCGACTGAAGTCACCATTCCAGCGCTGTGGTACATTGAAAAGTGTAAACTCGAAGAAGATCAACAGGATGGCATTTCGGATTGTTCATCGAATAAAAGTCTTGAAAGCCTCGGAGTGTCGAAAGAAGAAATGTTAAGCAAATTGATACCGCTCGAACGTGTGATGCCACCGGCTATAATTGAACGCTCCGAAGAATTGAAGCAACAAGAGCGCATTCGTCATGAACGCTTCATTGAGGCAGTCTTAGAGAAGTATCCAGTGGACAAGAGCTATCACCCGAACAAAGCACGAAAGTACACATCATCCGAAAACGACATGGGCGATGAATGCAAGCGACAGAATGGTACGCGTCGGAGCAACAATGATAAATCGATGGAATCACGGTACAAAAAGAAAGTCGAACGTGCCGTTAACGCTTACACCATCATTCATTTGAGAGAACGCATTTTGGCCTATCAAACACGGATGAGCATCATGAAAGAGATGCTGATGCAAAATGACATTTTGTGCTTCGACGATGTGTCCAGTGACGAGTACGATACAACATCAGCATCGACATCACCCTCACCACCACCACCATCGTGCGCATCTTCGGACGATACAACCACATTATCGTCACTGTCCGATTTTGACTCAGACATGGAGAGCATAAGCAGCATCAGCAGCACAAATTCATTTTAAATCGTCGTAATTTTTTTAGCTGATATATTCTTTTATTTCGTATTTAACTCAAAACTTTGAACATTGTGTGCGTAGGTCTCAGTATTGCGTTATTCAATTCAAAACAGTCGATCAACTGATAACAATTTTAGTGATTGGTTTCGAATTTTGTCGAGTCATATTATTTAGTTTTTTTTTTATTGCGTCGCGTTAATTTTAGACACATGAATTGGTTAGGTATGGAAATTAGTAAATAAAATTCAAACGCATAACGGAATTTCTTTGTCTTTTTCTTTATGGCATTTTGGTGACGACACATTTCAGCATAAAACAATGGCCACATATTGTTGAGTAAGTATTTGTGTTTGCCAGACAAAACAAACAGATTTCAAAAAAAAGACGTTAAAGAACAATTGCTTTAAATAAGTCGACGCACACACATACACACACACGAAAGAGCGCATGAAGAGTTCGAAATTTTTTATGGTTTTTTATCTTCATGGCATGATCTCATATCACACTTCTATTAGTGAGACGTAATAGAACGCAAGTTGGTCCAACTTCGTAGCAATAAAGAGAAGTATGTTTCATTGCAACCAATAATGGTTAAAAGAATGTATGTTCGTTTTTAGCGGGTCCTCGCGGTTTTTTACGGTTCCCGCGGAACTGATGAGAGATAAGAGATAGATGTCTTCAGCAATGTTATAGAAGACCTCGAGTACTACAAATTTGCCGAAGCCACCAAGTTGTTATCTCTTATCAGTTCCGCGGAAACCGTGAAAAACCGCGGAGGCTAGATAGGATGCCAATATACTTCCTTTTATCGCAGATAGAATCAACAGAAAACATACTTTCCTTTACAAAAATATAAATCGACAAAAAAACATACATTCTTTTACGTCTCACGAATAGACTTATGATGTTCTTTGTATCTCATTTTTGTACTTTGTTTACATTTAAACCATTACTTTTCCACTGAAAAATGGTCAGCTTCTTCACCGTCTACTAATCGCACAGCAGGTACGGTTTGTATTTGCCCAAATGCTAATGACCAAAAACAAATTTCCTACGAAACAATATACGCAGTGGTGAATATGAGTTGTGAGATATGAGAATGCCAGAATTGAGGTTAGAATTTAAATTATTTCGCTAGAAATCTGCATTTTTACGCACAAAAATGAGTAAAAATGACAAAAATATCAAGTGTTTAATTCATAATCAAACTCTAAACGAAACGCAATTCAAACACTTGAAACAGCATTTAATTCACGTAAAGTGGTGCATATTCACCATGTCGACTGTCGATGTTCGTTCGTGTGTCTAGTTGTTGTTGTGATTGTGTTCATGCGTTTATTTTTGTTATGATCTTAATCTAGCTCTCTTCTTCTCACATTTACAAAATAAAAATCAGCTGGCCATTTTGTTGGTGTGTGCGTGTGTGTATCTGTGCATTGTCCCCCATACTCACGGGCGAATGCTATTCCATGTCAATGTATTCGTATTGAATGGTATGCCATGAAATTCTCTGGTTTCATATATGCAGTTCAGTGTTTTTGGATAGAGGAAGAGCAGTAGCAGTAGCAGTAGCAGGCCAGTCCGTGTGCGTATCGTTGTGTTAGTGTTTTTGTTGACTTGAATTTCACAATGGCAATGAGTGCGACAGAGAGTCACACAATGTTGGTGTGACAGAGAGCATTAATCGGTTTTTGTGTGTGAACGATGTACTAAACGGATTTTTGTTCGACAACGACGTCGAATACTTTTTTGTATTCACATTCGCATTCGCATCGTTTGCTGAGTGTGCTGTGTGAACGGAATGAGCTCTTAGTGTGCTTAGTTGAAGTTGTTCTCTCTCACTTGATTTCGTGTGTGCAGTAGATACATATACATTTACATAAACCTATATAAAGAGAGCGAGTGTGTAGTAGAAAGAAGGAAAGAAAAAAAAATCAATCAAACGAAGGCGAACGAAATATTCGACATTCAAAACGCAAAAGAAGAGATTGAATTTCTCGTTGTCGTGTTTGTGAAAATAAAGAAAGAAAGAAAGAAAGAAAACGTACGGTAGTGAACGAAATCTGAAAAAAAAAACGTAGAAGAAAATCGGGTTGTGTGTGGACAGACAGACAGAGGAAAAAAAAGTGCACAGGGAATAAAATAAAAGGAACAATTTCAGTCGATGCGAGTGGTTAAAATAATTTCTCAAAATTGATTGCGATACGAATTTAGAAGCGTCAACTGGAACCTCTTGTGGTTGCCAGCCACCGCACAAAAAACAAAGATTATCGCATCCATTATCGTCGACGTCGTCGTCGTTGTTGTCGCCTTCATCTTCAACGTCGTCGGCCATTGTTAGTTCAATTATTGCTGGCAATAACATAATTAAAGACGAACAAATTACGGGAAATTCATATTTCGACAATCCGAGTACGAGCAACAGCTACTGCACTGGTATTTGCAAAATGCAAGAACAAGGGAGTCTGAACAGCAATGGTGAGTCGATTGTGAAAAGCAAAAATAAAAATTATATATTTTTCTTCCTTCACTCTCTCTCTCTAAATATATCATGCATTCCGTTGCTTTTATTGACGGAACCAACAAATTTGAAATAGTTCAATATGTGAATTAGTGGAGCGATTGTTCATTTTCAATGGAACTACGATTTCTATATGGTCAACATAATAGAGAATGCATTTCTAGCATAAATTATGGCAATGACGAACAAAGGCAAGTTGAACGAAGGAGACGGCAATATGGAGCATAGATCGTTTGAACAACAACAACAAAGAAAAAAGAAAAAAAAATTACGTAGCAAAATGATGTCAAAATGACAGTCGCCATGATGTTTTCGTTCTCTCTTTGTTTTGCTTTTTATTTTGTTTTTGTTGTTGTTGCCTATTGCTGTACTGCTGTTCGCTGATGTGTTTCTGCGGTTGAATTTTATTCATAATTGAAATGGTGAACGCATCAACAGAAAAAAGAAAAAACATTTTACCCACTCGTCCTAAAATAAATCAGCGCAGGCCATTGAAACGTATCACACACAATACATATTGAACAGAAAGAAAATTCCAAACGATTTTTTTTTATGCATGAAATTTGATTTAACCATTGTGTTATTGTTTTCACTATTTAGATGCTGTCAATAATTTGGAATCGAACGGTCATGTTTTGAATGGAAACACGGAAAATGGTGTGACAACGTTAAACAACGTTGTGCCCGTTAACTTAACGAAAACCGATCAAGATATTGTACGTTTAATTGGGCAATATCTCAAGATCGTTGGCTTGGGGTAAGTACTTACATCAATTGACAAACCCATCGACATAGTGTGTTAACAAGTGTGTAATTTTTTTTCTTGCCCATAGAAAAACGGCTGATCATCTGATTGAAGAGTCTGGTTGTGTCTTGGAACATGCATCGGCCACAAAATTCCGACAGTATGTCATGCACGGAGACTGGATCAAAGCGGATCACTATCTTCAGGAAGTGCAACAGCTTATCGAACGCAAACAAAATAACATTGTTGTAAATATCCAACATCGCTTCTACAGAACAATGATTTTTTTTTACTTTTTTTTCACATTCTATTTGTGAAGCTTTTTTTTTATTTTTATCTGCAAAATTTGTGTTCTGTATTTGTATTCCTGAATTTACCTGAAATTTTGTCTGTCTCTAACATGTATCTCTACTTCATAGGAGATGAAATTTTTATTGTTGGAACAAAAATATCTGGAATATTTGGAAGAAGGACGTGTTTTGGAGGCACTTCATGTGCTCAGAAATGAACTAACTCCATTGCAATACAATACACCACGCGTTCATCAGCTTTCCTCTCTCATGATGTGCGCCAACAGTGAGGAACTCATTCGCAGATCCAATTGGTATGTGCGCATTGGTCATTGCCAATACTTGTTCAATTGCAATCGAGTCTCGAATTTTTATATTTTTTGAACGTTTTTTTGTTTCTGATGAATTCGTGTATCGAGATTCATATGAAGCATTCAATAATCTACGTCTGAGGAATTTTCATCGAACTTTTCTCTCAATCTTTTTTCAAAATGTCAAAAATAGGGAAGGAAAGGGTGATGTTTCACGCACACGTTTGATTGACCGTCTTCAATCATACTTACCACCGAATGTAATGTTGCCACCACGTCGCCTATGCTGTCTGCTGAAACAAGCAGTTCAGTACCAGGCCGAACAATGCTCATGCCATGATGTTTGTTGGAGAACCGATTTGGATAATGTTTCGCTGCTTACCGACCACGACTGTGGACAAGAAAACGTATGTCATTTTGAATTAGCCTAGCCGCCCATTCGAGAAAAAAAAATAATTTCTGATTAAAAATCGAATCGTTTCACTTTTCAGTTCCCAGTACAAACAGTACAGGTGTTGAATGACCACTGTGATGAGGTGTGGTTCGTGAAATTTTCACCCGATGGTCTGAAGCTGGCAACGGGCTCAAAAGATACGACAGTCATCATATGGGACGTTGATCCACAAAAGAATCAAGTGAAAATGCGTCGAACGCTCGATGGCCATACGTATGGGATATCATTTTTACAATGGAGCCCCGATTCAAAGCATCTCATGGTCGGCGGCCCCGAAGAGTGTCCAAACATTTGGATTTGGAATATTGACGAAGAGAAAATTCCTATTACCATGTCGCATTCAAGCGAAGACAGTCTCACATGTGGCTCATTCAGTGCGGACGGTACACGGTTTGTGACCGGTGGCACGCGCGGACAATTTTATTTATGTGATTTAAATGGATCAGTACTTGACAGCTGGGATGGTGTTCGTGTGACTGGTTTAGCATTTCGTAGTGACAATAAAACGATTTTAGCTGCCGATACTCATCATCGAATACGAATCTATTCCATCGATAATCCACGTTTGGATTGCACATTGTAGGTTTTTTTTGTATGGTAGCACTAAGATAGACAGCAAAGAATTCATTACGTATTGTAAATGAAACTAACATGTCACTTTATTTCGAATGTTACAGAGTTCAGGAGCAATTTCCGATAATGACATTTGTTATCAATTCAAGTGACCGTTTAGCTTTATTGAATTGTTCGTCGCAAGGTTTGCATCTGTGGGATTTGGAGGACAAGTGTTTGGTACGGCAATACCAAGGCACAACACAAGGAACGTACACGATTTACTCGTGTTTTGGTGGCATTAACGAAAGCTTTATCGCTAGTGGGAGCGAAGATCACAAGGTAAAATTGTCATAAATTTTGGGTAATTTTGGGCCCTTCTAACACGATAAGATTCTAATTGAAATTTGCTTCATTCCGTCGTCTAGGTATATATTTGGCACATAAAACGCGAAGAACCGTTGGCCAAATTGACCGGTCACACACGCACCGTAAATTGTGTTTCATGGAATCCAGTCTATCCGTCAATGTTGGCATCGGCATCGGACGATGCGACCGTTCGCATTTGGGCGCCTCGACCAAATTTCGATAGCAATACAGGCAACAACGAAATTGATGAAACGTCCTCATGCTCATCATCGTCATGGAACATGACATAAACGTGGTCTCTCAACCTGGATCATCATCAGAACATTTACTATTAAATTGTTATTATCAACAGCGACACGAACGGCAATCTTATTCAATCAAACGCGAAATGAAAAAAGAAAATCAACACCAACAAAGAAGAACATTTAATACGATTTTGCTCAAAGACTGACAACCACAAAAACTACCAACAGATGCGTTCAAGCCAACAACAAAAAAAAACACTTCACTTATGTTACAAAAACAACAACAAAAAAAGTAATGATGTAATATTACGTGTATGTAAAGAATAAGCGACACACAAACACAAACAAACACACCAAGTAGCCAAAACGCTAATGCTAATTATGTACATTTACACACACAAATCCGAACACAGTCGAACATTGCAACAAAATCGCGCAATCACAACACAATAAAATGATACAAATCTATCGATACAACATGAAAAAAACGACTCATTTTACATCGTGTAAATTTAAAAAATATCTGAAAAAAAGGGAATTCAATTTAAATTTGAACGAACGAAATGATTTATTACAATCGATATAACAATTAAAACGGTGAACTATGTCTTAATGAACAATGTTGAACAAAACAAAACGTTTCTGATTGATAAATGAATGAGAGTGAAATTGTTCATTGAAATAGAGTGTGTGTGTACTTTAATGCTAGATTGAATTCAGCCGAATTTCACAGAATACATATATATATATATATAAATAAATAAAAACAAGATATATATATATTTAATGAATTACAGTTTAAGATTTAAGGTAGAGAAGATCTATTCTTCTAACGCAATAATCGATAAAAACACATCAGGTCAAGTCGGTTGCTTTCAATTTCTTCGTTCATTGAGTTGAATTTAATCTTGTTTCATTGATTTATGAGCTGAGCTCAGAGGCTTGGCTCCACTCCGTACACAGAGAGAGAGAGAACATGAATTTCACGTGACTTTCGATATAAATTGATCTATATTTCTGCGGGCAAATGTTTTCTTAATCGATTGCAATAAACTTTTTTTTGTTTCATTTATGTGTCTTATATACATTTGTGTATTTAAATCCTTCCAACCACAACAAACAAACAAGCCGGAAGAACCGAAAAGAAACAACAACAAATCACAATTTTTTTGCGTTTATTTTTTACTTTCGAAAATAAAATAAAAGTTTGTCATTTTTTTCTAGATTGTAGCGTTAAAATTACTATCAAATTTAGATTTAAAGGAAAGTGAAAGAGATGAGACACAGTGAGAAAAATTACAGCAAAAAAATATTACAACAACAAAAAGTAATCTATGTAAACTATTAATGATGATGATGATGAAATAATTTCACAATTTTAGTCGATTTAAGCGATTTAGATGATGTAAGCAATTCACTTTGATCTTTGAACATTTAACCTTATGCATCTAAGTTTGATGTATTTATATTAATATAAATCTATATATATTATTGTATGACGAATAGTGCGCTAGCATGCATTCACCACCACACAACAAACAAACGCACCACGACTCATTCGTATGATATGGCAATTTAATACCGATCATTCATTATTCTACTTTTATTGCTATTAAGTTTCGAAATCCCCCTCCCCCCCCAAAATAATCATTTCTAAATTTTTAGTCGGATTTGAGAGAAACAAAAATTTAAAAAAAAAGCAAACGCAAAAAAAATAAATGCGGTTTTCGAGAATATCAAGAAAAAAGAAGTACATTCTAATTGGAATAGGATACATTTTTGTTACATTTTATTCAACGAGAAGCAGAAAATAAAAACAAAAAGTGATTTTAATAGATCGAATTCGGTGGTTTGATTCTTTTTTTGTGCATATTTTCAGCGATATTTTATGGTCGATTTCGCTTTTTTCAGATGTATTTTAATTTTGCTTGGAATGGTATTATAATTTTTTTCAGAAATAAAAATCAAAGATTTTTGTAATTCATTTTATGACTTAGCCTTCTACACAGGAAATGGAATTAACCCTAATTGGCGACAAGTGAACGGTGTTTGATGACGACTAAATATTCTGTTGTGTCGAGCTGTCATTTGCAGCCAAATAAAAAAAGAGAAAAAGAATTGATTGATTTTTTTTTGCTTCTGGACTGTAGATACTTTGCCACCATTTTTGTTCCTGAGGCCTTAGAGTACCTACGTTTCTCTGTGTTATGCCATCCATGATTGGGGATGCTGTATCGAATGCCCGAATTTGGCAACAAATTTGGAATCTTATTACTCACCGATGGCCTTTAAAGTACACTTGGATCAATGCAAATCTCTTTAGCTAGTATGAAATCGATCAAAATAAATCCAAAAACGACTTGTTTGGTCCATGTTTCATTTATTAGACTGAATAATTATTATTCAATTATGATTAGATCATTATGTATGAAATGTTTAATTTTGTGAATTTTATGTGCTAAAATATGTCAACAGATTCTGTTGATTTGTCTCCGTTGCTGTCAAATGTTCAATCAAATCTTTGATATTTTTTCGTTTCTTATCGCAATCAATTGCGTCGTCGTTTGACGTTGGAATGAAGTTGTTTTCCGACGATGGAAAGTTGTCCAAGATGAATTTTTCCGCAAAATCCAACAGGAACAGGCCACAATCATAATCGTTCGATTGCTGTGCGATTGGTACGAAATCAGTTGGCAAACGGGCTGACAAGTCATTGATGGATCGACCTGACTCTCGGGCGATTTGTTTCGAGATGAAGAGGTGCAACTTCTTCAAGAATCCGGAATGTTGGGATTTGAGAAAACCGATGGATGAGTCCAGGATGATGACGCGTGGCATCTGCTTCAAGTCAATGGTGTCGAAGTCACACGCAATGTTCCATGGAAAACATACGATGACCAAAAACCAATGCTCTTTTAGGTTGACTGGCAGCAAGATGAAGTCTTTGTCGAGAATGTGAACGTCCTGGGATACCCCATTGTCCTGGTCTTCGCACATTATCTTCTGATAGAAAGTGCTCGCGAATATTTCGATTTTCGGTCGTTGTTCCTTCGCCAATACCACCTGATACAAATATTTCATGTAGAAATCCAGAATCGCATCGTTCAGCAATTCTTTGGAATCGAGCGTGTCCACATCGAACGGGAAAATGTGCACACCGTTGAAAATCAGAATGGGATCCATGTTTTGATAGTTGTCCATTTCCTCTATGTATCGACTGCGTGGAGAATTTTGACAAAATTCCGTCAGGTTTGCATAAATCAGTGCAAGAACAACATTTTATCAAGTACTTACCGTATTGTGTCGCGCCAAATGATGCGAAATTGTTGACGTTTCCAAAACTGTCAAAACCATTTGTGAAGCGATTTGACATTTATACAACGAGTAAAGCAATTTGAAAATTAACGGCGGTTTTTTTTCCTTTTTGTTTTATTTTACTGAAATAAATGTTTGAATTGACATTGAGGAAATAAAATGAATTTTTTTCGTTAAATATACGATTTGTGGTTGGATTAATAGCTAATAAAGTGTATGCGAATAAGATTTATAGTTCATTAATATTCTAATGGTCAGAAGATAATTTTTTCAAGTTGACACGTCATTCGGCGTAGCTTATGTCGATTTTTATTCGTTTTTTATTTTGATTAATTTTAATCATGTTTCTGGAATGACGATAGATTATGCACATTTTAAAAATGACCAATAACTTCGTTTCCAAATTTTTGTTTTTTTAATTTATTGAATTTGAATGAACATTTGGGAATGGGAACCAATGGTTTAATTGTTATGACTTGAAAAAATATGCAGTTCGTTGTATGCTAATAGCTAAGTCCACGCGAATGGCAGATTTTCCAACCTTCTAAAGTCACTTAAAAAAAAAGAAAAGGCATTTGCGCTTTGGAGTTAGTTCCGTCCCTTGATTTGAACAATAATATTTCTTCTTCCGCAACATTGATCGATAAAAGCGTGCAAACGGTGTTTATCGCTATTCTTTACATTTTTCAAATAGTACAAATCAAGTAGTATCAAACTTTCCGCATCGAACAACAAGTTCTCCAACCCGTTGATCGTTACATTATCCGCAAAAGAGAGACACAATTCGGTTAACAATGGCAAATTATTTGCAAGCGACTTCAAATATTCATCATCAACATCAATTCTGTCTAGTTCTAGACTTTTAATGGTCTTCATGGTCAGCACTTTTTCTAAGATGACTTCATTAGCACCAATGTCCAACACCAAACATTCAATCGGAATGTGAGCTTTATAAATTTCGTTGAATGCTGGTAGTGCTGTCTCGTCGCGTATTATGAGGGTCTTCAAATGTTTCAGTTTTTTCAACTCGGCTAAGTTGGCACTATCAAATGAAGAATATCCAAATGAAATTTCTTCTAAATTTGGCAAAAATTCCGTGATGCTAGTGAAAACTTTCGATGTAAATTCTTCGCAACCGAAAAGTTCCAATTTGCTTATGCCACGATTGAAAGCAAACACCGTCTCCAACTCTTCATCTTTGAATTCCAATAGTTGCAGTTTTCGTAAGCTTGGGAATTTAATGTTCTTACAAATTTCGGCCGAACTGATTGCAATCGATTTCAATTCCGAGCACGATGACAGAAGCTCTTTTGTTGTTTCGGATCCAAAGAAGCTGTTGTTTGAGAATTCCAGATGATTTAATCGCGAGAAAATTACTTTTAGTGACCATTTTGTGTAATTATCTAGTGCATTGCAAGCTTTAGTGCCTTCCAAGAATAGGTCCAAATTTTTAAGTCTATCGCATGGATAGATGATCAAATATTTGCTAAGATTTTCTTTGTCCTGTTGACGAAAATCTATGCGAAGACTCTTAACTAAATGACTGAACGTTTGAAATAGGGCTTTGTTGGCAGCGTAAGTGTCATCGCGTTGATCCAATTCAATCTTATCAAATTTCTTTAGCTCGGCAAAGTTTTGTTCAGCAATTCGTTTGAAGCGGGTGCTTGTATTGGCCACAGCGCACAAACCAAATGCATCCAAATATCCAAGGATTTTCATCAAACATTCGTCTCTCAGATCGGAGATTTGTGCTGACACAGTTAGAAGAGGTCGATTCAAATTCGATTCAATTGGTTGATCATTGGCTGGTTGAACGGAGACAACGTGTTTTGCGATTCCATGATATGGTTTTTGAAGAACATCACGTGCACTTTTGGCCAATTTGAACTGCACAATACCATAGCCAAAACGCTCCTCTAAACAAAATTGAGTGTTCTCGATTTGGCCAAATTTCTCGAAATACTGCACAACACTCGAGATTTTCATCTGGAATCGTCAACAAATGTTTCATTTTTGAGAAAGTTTATTTGAAAATCGTTTGATTTCTTGTATTTACCGATGTCAAAATTGGTGCAACGTATAATTTCCGAATCGAAATGTTGATAGTTTCGCTGTATGCTCGTTTTAGTCGTTTATCTGGTGGCATGAGATATGACACAAACTGCATTTTGGGGTGATTACACAACAACCAGGACTTTTAACGATTTTAAATAAACTTGAAATTCACAAATTTATTTGAAATATTCAACTTATGGATGAAACGATGCTTTTTTTCGGTATAAACAAGACAAAGAGACAAATATGCAGATCTTTGAATTGACAGCACAAACATTCACCACTAACGGACAAACACAGAATGTTGTAGGCTAACGATTTTCTAAAGAGCACAGATGCATTTATATTCCTACAAACATTCCAATAACGAAAGTAAACGGTGGTTGAAGTACGATGCGATGCCGCAACCGATTCACTGTAAGCTTGTGGAACCGAATACATGAAGGATTGATCGTCGATGTGATGTGATGTTGACGTACGGTTGTGTATACTTATTATGTAATCATACACTTAACGGATATGCTTGTATGACCAATTGCTCCAAAATATACCAAACATGTGTGAGTGATGAATGGGATTCATTCAATTCATGCTCATGTAAATAAACCATTGAGAAATAGAATTCTTTGTCATGATCGTTTATATGAGACATTTTCTTTCGCTTCAAATAAATTTCTATCACCTATTTCTGATTCCTTCAAGTCTGATTTCAGCACTTAATTCCTTTTTCATATCTCTGAATCAAATGTTCCAAATGTTATGCAAGTAAGATAGCGACAGCTTATATCTTTTCGTTATTTTAATTGTTGATATCTCGGTAATAAACTCAAGTAAGTCCTTATTTGCATTGAATTGAAGTGAAAATAAAAGACACGCAGTGAAATAAATCAACAAAAATAATTTCGAATGATTTCAAGTAGTTACATTTTATTCAACATCGAAATCAATTCTCAAATGTGGTCGTTGACCAGCCCAATCCAACAAATCGTATTTGTTAGCTTCTGTTACATTTTTTAGGTTGGTCAAAGCCAAAAGTGTAAGACTTCTGGCGTAAAATAGAAATTTTTTCAATCCATCGATCGTTACTTGGTCCGAGTACCCAAGTCGCATTACAGTTAAGCTGGGAAGATTTTGTGCCAACCATTCCAAATGATCATCTCTAATGAAGTTCATTCCGCGTTCATTGCTGTAGATTGTCAAATTTTGGATCGTTTGCATGCTTAAAATGCGTTCGATTATTGCATCATTCACGTCCACATACCATAGCATCAAACTTTCGATACGAGCCCCATTCGCACGCATCACATTGATAATCGGTAGCGCTGGTCCGAGTATAATGTTGAGGCTGTTTAATCGCCTGAGTTCACCGAGTGGTAGCAATTGCTGTGGTGCAAGTTTTTGCAGTAGGTAACCCAACGAAAGTTCTTCCAGATTCGGTAAACGACGCCCAATGATTTCAATGGCTTTGGCTGATAAATTCGTACATTCGTCCAAGTATAACTTCTTAATGTTTGGGTTGCACGCCAGTAGGAGCTCGAAACCATTGTCATCGATAGCATGATTCAGATAGAATTTCAACTCCTCCAACTTTGGGAACCGTACACTCAGTCTGTTCAATTCGAAATTCATGACGGTCATGCAATTGAGTGCCAACGATCTCAATTCAAGGCACGCGGCAAGCAGCTCTCTTGTCGTTTCAAAATCGAACAGCTTGTTACAGTAAATATCAAGACGATACAATTGAGAAAATAGCAATTTCAGTTTCATTGTTGTTCCTTCGGCCAAATGAATGTGATCGTAGCTTTGCATCCACAAGCTCAAGTGGGACAGTTTATAGCCACAATTTTCAACGATAAATTCCAAAAAATCGTTTTGCGGTTCAATGACGTCGACATCGAGACGTGTAATCAAATGACCGAATGTCTTAAACACTTTCATTGCATTCTTGTCGCCGGCACGCCATGTGATTTTGTTGAATTTGGACGAAAAAATTTGCTGGCCAATTTTCTCAAAATGAGTACAAGTGTTGGCTATTGCATAAAGGTCGTTGACATTCAGATGGTCGAAAATTTTCGCCAAGAGACTGTTGTTCAATTCGAGAAAAGGCGTTTGTTTCATGAGCAGATTTCGCAGAATGCTGGTTTCGACGGGTTGTTCACTTGCCGGCTCCACTGTCATGATGTACTTTTGGATACGATGATAACGTCTTCTCAGAATTGAGCCAATGTCTTCTACGTTCTTGAACTGTATGATAATCGAATCGAAACACTGGTCGTGACGAAGGTGGTAGTATTCAATTTCACCGAAATTTTGGAAATGCTGCATCACATCGGGGAGTTTAATCTGTGAACCGAAGACAATGCGATTGAATCAAAATGAATTGGACAGGAAAAAACGGTTCAAAATACACGGGAAATGTTGGATAGTCTCTAAAGTGACTTCAATCACAATTTCTCGTACTTACAGGTGCAGTGATGGGTCCAACACTCAATTTTGGAACTGGAATGTTTTGATATGTTGCCTGCATCCACGGCTGAATCGTTTGAGGCAATTGTGGTACGAACTGCATTTTGGGGTGATATCACTCTGGAATTGAAAACGATTTATGTTTACTTTGCTTGTCGTTTAACGAATGATTAATTTAAACTTATAATGTTGGTCTTTGCTTCGAAAGTTTTAACGAGAAAGAAACTAAAAAATATTGAAGAAAAGTTTTATATTAGAATCCAAATAGTTGATTTTTTTATACCGGAATTTTCTTATTGTTTTAAACTGTAATTCAATTTCAATAAAATCGGAGCGATTTTAGTTGGTTGTCAAACGGAAACACAAACGAACTAAATAGGATAGATATGAAGTAACCATTGCATACGAACAACGATACAGCGACAAAGCGGCACAGCTCTAACGCAAATCCTTTGCAAGTGGAGAAAGTATAGACTGACAGAGAGAAAGAGAAAAAGACAGTGGTGTGTTGTTGACGTCCGCTATGCACTGCGTTGAACGGAACGAATTGTGATATAGCGACAGTCACAAGCCTGTTCAGTGTTCACTGTAGAAGCGTGTGAATATTTGGGCAACATAAACACGACGAACGAAAAAATTCCAATAGAGTCGCACAATAAACAATCGATTTGCTAAGGAAAATAATTCAATGGAATTTATTTCTTCGAGTTTGGCGATTAAGTGACGATTTTTTTTCTCATTCCAAGAACCCGAAATGTTTTCGCGTAATTTAAATATTTTAATAAACCTCTTGACAAGACCACTTGAAGGCTGTAAAGTGCATCAAATTTGTTCGTGGAATAATTGTGTGCGTTTCGAATCGCTTGTCGAAAGTAATAAACAAAATATCGAGTCGGCGTCAAGTTGCTCGTTGATTATGAACCATTTTTTTTGTATTCGATAATATGTCTACCGATTTAATAGACTTGTGTTTGCAAGAGAATGCTGTATATCCATAAAAAATCTTAATTTACTAGCACGAACTTACTCAAACGACGTGCGTTTTGTCGCTGATTTGTCCCGCATTAAAATGGTAACATTTATGACATCATGCGATCCCGAATTTGATGAGAACCAAATAGAATCAGTACTAATTGATTCAAAACTTGAACAATTTTCTTTTTATTTGAATACATGCATATTATTGAAACATTGAAAATATGAGCGTGTATTTACATCTGATCTGAAAAAAATCTCCTTGGCTTTTTATGATGCAACATTTTGTGGAAAGCAATTCCGTTGCTTTTTGAAGAATTGTCTTTAAAAGTAGAGTAAATGCAACATAAAAATATCGTATTAAAAATACTGAATCAAGTCAATACCATCGATCAAAATATTTTCCAGTTCAGCTGTTCTACTTACTTCTTATCATCATGAAAGCAGAATATGCAACGATGAACAATTGAAAAATGTAAGAGTTTATGCTCAAGAATGAAAATTCTGTTTGTTATTTTTATTCAAATTATAGAATAGAGTATTGTTGTTGTTCATGGCATATTGTTGAACCTAATACAAAAACTATTTTTTAAGTAAAGTTTGCTGTTCTGTTAGAAATACGCCTCTAATGGATTGAAGAAGATGAATATTTTTTTATGTCTTTGTGACATTTCCAATATTGGTCAAAGCCAAAAAAGTGATATGATCACTTATTTAGATTAAGCTTTTCTACTAAACCTTCTAATTCTATGGCACCACCGGGAAATCCAAATGGGTTATGTTGAATCGTTAGATTTCTTCCTTTGAATTGTTCGAGAGCATAAGAGATTAAATTGCCGGCCTCTTCGAAGCTATTTTCAATTTCCAGGAACGTGAGATTTTTCGCGAGATTCAGCACATTTTTCAATGCCTCAACCGTTGGCAATTGAAACATAAATCGCAATTCTGTCAAATTGGGTAATCCTCTTGCAAACATTTCCAGATGCTTGTCAGTCATTGAACATTTTTCAAATTTCAATTTCCTGACGCGACGCAATTTCGGAAGGAGTTCAACGAAGCAATTGTCGGGGATGGTGTCCATAAGCTCGTCAGTTAGTTCCAAATTTTCGATGGGCATTTCCGTGTTCCATATGTTATTAATAATCACCAATGACCAATGATTTTAGTTTTGTTTTGGTATCGTTGTCCAACCGAAGACTACTAGTCCATTTCAAATTGACAGGTCGTAAATAGAGCAATTTGTCCCCGCAATATTTTACGATGAATTTGAAAACATCAGCCTGTGATTTGTTTTCATTGAATCCAATTCGAACATTCGTCATCAATGCACCGAATGTCTTATACAACTTTTCGGTATCATCCTTTATTTCACCCTCAATGACATGGGTTTCACTATCAAACTCCGATATGAATGTATTTTCAGCGATTTTCTGGAAACGTTTGCAAGTGTTGGCCACATCACACCATTCAATCAAATCAAAATCGTCGAAAATCTTCAGCAAGCAGTCATCGTCCAAATCCAACATATGTGTCGCTTCTTTTGTGGTATTGTTTCCGATCGGTTGATCATCGGCTGGTTTCACATTGACGATGTACTTTCCAATGCTATGATACCGATTCTTAAGTGCTTTACGGGCATTGTCTTCACTTTCGAATTGCACCACGCCATGTCCAAATGTTTGTCCCGGGAAGAGTTGTCCGTAGATGATCTTGCCAAAATTCTCGTAGTATTGCACAACACTCGAGAGTTTCATCTGAAAAATTTGTATGCAAATACAATGACACTCGTTTTAATCGTAAATGCAGTGGCAATCAAAGGAAGTAAAATATTTACCCATGATGGAATTGGTGAAATGAGCAATTTACGATTGGAATTGTTGACAGGCTCGACGTATACACGTTTTTTCAAAGGCAAAACTGGCACAAACTGCATGTTTAGTCTTTTTCTATGAGGAAATCACAATATTGAATCAGTCAACGATGTATAAACGTAATTACACATTTTGGTGTAAAAGACGATTTTATGTTCTGTCACTTTTAATATTTAAGCTAAGTACACAGTTCCTCGTGAAATGAAAAAATTTCTCCGGTGAAATTTTTACAGGTGATATTTGTATGGTGGTTTGTATTTTCGAATTGCAAGCATAATGATTTTTGATGTATGAAACAGTTAACTCCCTCCAATATCAACACAACACATGAACAAATTTGAATTTTGAATTCAAACTTGAATTTATTTTGATCTTTCTTATTTTTTCATGGCCGTGAAAAAAATTTCGCGTACATTTTGCACGCGAAATATTTTTCACGATCGTGAAAAAAATTTATTTAGACAAAACACATAGAAAAATGAACTCAAAAACCAAATTTTTTCATGTGTCGTGTTGATATTGGAATGAGTTAGCTGATTTATACATAAAAAATCATGATGCTTGCAATTCGAAAATAAAAAACACCATAAAAATATCACCTGTGAAAATTTCACCGGGGAAATTTTTTCATTTCACAAGGAACTGTGTACTTAGCTTTATATTCAAGAAAAACTAACCTTAGTCCGTAGTAACGTCCAAATTAATTGAATAATTTAAGAGTTTTGGCAATTGTTTTGAAAAAACGAAAGTGGAGTTAAATGTGAAACTACAAACGGAAAACTGTACAAAATTCGTTATAATAATTCTAATTTTACTGCTCCGAATCGAGAAAGAGAACCTTCACCGATAACAAACGAAAACGTAATGATGATCAAAGTAGCAAAGCTCCTTCTGAAGAAAAGTCCAGCGTTGAAAACATCAATACGATTTGACCAATACAAACATAACGAACATCTATACACTGGAGATTCGGATCTTATAAGCATTCATAGTATGGGTATTTAAACGCAGTACACATTGTCTCGCTAATATGTTGCACATCAAAATGTTAAAACTTGTGACTTGAACCGATCGCGAGCCCTCAATCCTCTTGTATGAGAACCAAACAGAATCGTACATTATTAATTCGTTGGAAAGTCAACCAGCAAATGAAAATAAAATGATTTCTCATATGAAAATAAATGACATCGATGACAAGATTGGTTCGGTTTATTTTTCGCTTCAAAATAAATCAACAGTCATTTTCTATTATACCATGACTAACATAAACGGAATATATTCTTTAGCCTAACAAAGTTGATGGAAAAAAATGCCCTAAATATCTTGTTTATTTTTGTCGCTTCATTGCTCGATCGATGTTCCATCGTTCGGTGTGTAGTTCTCGCATGTGTTTGTACATATTCGCGTTGCTTCTGAATGGCTTCGAACAGTAAGAGCAATTGTAAAGTGTAACACCCGTGTGAACAGCCATGTGTTCCTGTGAATATAATGAACAATTGACAATTGTAACAGAAATGAATGAAAACTGATTTAAGCGGCGAGTACCTTGAGTGCTATTGGACGACCAAAAGATTTATTGCAGCGAGTACATTGATACTTGCGCGTCGAATGAGCTGCTGCAATATGAGATCTCAACGATATTACGCTGAATTTAGTTTTTTTACAATGTGGGCACTTCATGGGTATTTTTTCGTGATTTTTCTTGTGAACGTTGAGTATGTGCTGGTTCTTAAGCCATTTTTCGCATATATTACATTGTACACGGGTTAAGTCTTCGTTCATATGGGTCCAAGCATGTTTGGTGAATGCATCCGAGCTCGTATATATTTTGGCGCATACTTTGCACACGAATTTTTCTTTCTTCTGTGGTATGACCTTATGTACAAGTTCAATGTGAGATTTCAAATTGCCGAATTTCATTCTGAAGCGAAAAAAAACATGAAAATCAAAGTAAGTACCTTTTTTATAAAGACTTTCACATGATTTTTTACTTACACTTCTTCGCAAATCGGGCAAATGGTGTCGTGATAATTCTTTTTGTTTCTTCTTTGTCTCTCGTGAACGTTTTCCATGTGATGCTTGAGTAGAATTTCACTAGCAAATATTTTTTCACAAGTTTGACAAATGAATTGTTGAGTTTTTTCCTGATCGTGAAGCAAAAAATGCTTTCGTAATGCTTGACAGGTTGAGAATGATTCATGGCACATGTAACAACTGAAATGGAATGTCATTTGAATTTTTTCAATAAATTTCATTTTTATGGACCAAATCATGAAGCAATTACGCTAGAACATCATGCCAAAAATCGATTTTTGAAAAACTTACACAATGTCATCAATCTGACGCTTCGATCCATTCAGACGTGCTCTTTTCGGTCGAGTCATTGAGTCTTCTGGGATTTCTTCACCTTGGAATGGTATTATTTCGTGTATTTTGATTGTTTGCAGTCTTTTGTGTGGTGTTGCAGGAATGTGTTCAGCATCTAATCTCAGTTCTGTTTCTATGTCTAATTCTACTCCTGTTTCAGAGTTCAAATATGATTCAATTCCACGTTCGGTCTCTTGACACGATGTTGTTTCACATGTGTTTGTTCCATAATCCAACACATCAATTTCTAGACCAAGGAATTTTTCTGGAGACTGAATCACCTCATCTCCTCCGATCAAATATTCATACAAGCGATTCTCTTCCTCTTCATCGCATGCGTTCATTTGCGGCTCTTCTCCAATTTCGGACGCGCATTTATTATGAAGCGCCTCAACCATAAGATAAAATTCATGAAATGACTTCACCTTCAGCCAACAATCAGAACAAACAAACGTAGTAGCCGATTCGACATCATGCAGCAACTGTAGAAAAAAAAACAATTTTTTACTCACAAAATATGACTAGAATTTTTAAATTGAATTACATCAAACCAAAAGTATTTCACGATTACTTCCCACACGTTGAGCGCTTTTCCAACTTGGCCAAAAATTACAATACCATCGTTCTTTTCGTTTAAGCAAAATAAACATGATTTCTGTTCGAAAGACATGTTTTCAATTGTTTTGTTTACCAATGCCGCAATCACATTTCCAATAATACTGTTTGCTATCTGTCAAATTCCATTTGACACTTGATGTCATTCGCAAAAAAGCGGGTAGATTAAAAAAATTAAAATTCATCGGAATTATGTGTGATTAAACGAAAGGAAAATGAACATTTTACTAAAATATTCTATGAGGTTACAAGAAACATTCTTTTATAAAGAAAAAGATTAACTTTTAGGGTAGAATTTCGTAGTTTTGTTGAATTTTGGTTCATTTTCCGCTTTTTTTAAACAATTTAGGTGCTGAGTTTTAAGTATGTTTTCATTCTGAGTCGTAAAAAACTGAACTTTAATTAATTCAGACTGAAAATGTTCAAAACGTTTTGAAAGTAAGAGAAAATATCAAGAAAACTTCGAAATTCTAAAATATTTCCTTGAATCCATTGCAACAAGCATTGTAAACAGAAGCATTTTCTGTAAACACTGAAAATCTATCCTCAATTTCGCTAGATGGCGTTGGTAAAACTATTAGCTTTCTGTTGGTTCCAACAAAATCGTGCGATGAATCATTTGGCAGTTGGAATTACTTTCAAAAATGACTTGCTATAAGAAAACATTTGACTCAACTAAGAGTCTTACTCAGAAGTTTTTTTTCTCCCTCAAACTGGCAAAAAATGTGCCATTGAAATGGATAGATTGTTATGATAACGGCTCCAATGGGTCATGTCCGCCGCTCGATTAAAAAAGTGGCATGCAAATATTTTATGATCCATAAATAAAAACAACCTTTGGCTTCACATAAACAATCTTGTGGTTGATTGCGTGTCAGAACAATTGAGTGCATTGTGTGTGAGAATGGAGGAGAGTTCGGTCGTTAATTCGACTTAAAATTCGGGGCCTTTTGTTACCATCGAGCGATTCGGTTATCGTTCTGCAAACGTAACATACAATAAATGGTCAAAAAGGAAATTTCCAAAAGAGTAAATATGGAAATTTCTCTGCTAACTGCGCTAATTACATGATTAAACGTTTTAACTGTTTACGTTTTATTCACATACACGTACACTCACAAAGCGACGACAAATAAAGGCATTTGCACAGAGTGGAAACATAATAAAAATATACAAACAAAAATTGAATGACTAAAATCAACAATTTGGTGTTGGTTTGGCTGAGAAACCAGGCCACATACTAGCTGGCAACGGTGTGACATTTTGTTGTTCATGTGCTCTTTATTTTCATGTTTTTGTTACTAATTTTCTGTTTTCGCAACAATTTCAATTTTTCGCACACCGGCCGATGGGGCCAACGTATGGCTTATGCTGAAGCAACAACAACAACAAAATCGAATAATTTCTATTTTTTTTAAACATCCGACGTTTTTCTCGACACATAGCTCTTTTGACACATAATTATTAACATTATGTGTAGTTTTATGTGTATTCGCATGAATTTATTACTTTTTATTCTGGTTGCAGCGAGTTTACTTCACTCACAGCTCGACATTCGCTCGTCGTTCACTTTCTATTTCTGCTGCCGCTTTTTTCGTCTCTCGTTCAGTTGCAAATTAGCACAATTAATATTTGTGCGGCGGTGAGTATGTGTGTATGTTGCGAGAGTGTATGTGTGTTGCTTTGCCATTTAAATGATAGACTTTGGTTGATTTTCTTGATTTTGTACGTTTACGTGATGTGCGCGCATTTCGTTCGATCGTTTGGCATCGGTTTGCAAAGTTAAGCATGGATTGGATAAAGATAATGGTGTCTCCGCCGTCAATAACCATTGCTTTGATATTTATTGGATTGTTCAAAGCGATTTATATGCGATTTTTTCCTCTTTTTGTTGTTCATGCTCCTTTTTTTTTGCTCGTTTCGTCGTGTGGCATTTTGAAAATTATGAATTTTATGTTGTCGAGCATTCGAGTAAGCTATGTATTTTCTGTGCTGTTGTTATTGTCCAGTTTTTTTTGTTCGATGAGCGCCCGTTCGCGATCGTGTCCACTAATGTTGAGTTTTTCTCTTTTTTTCTTCTTTGTAGACCAATAATTCTTCGGACCGCTTGCACAAATCGGCTCGGCTTTTTCTCGTCTTCGTCTTCGTCTTCTTCATAGTAGTTCTCTTTTGCTATCTTTTACCATTAATATTTTCTTTGCTTCGCTCGTCTAATTGCGTTAATTGTAATTTTTCATTCGTATTTCACCATAATACACTCGGTTCGAGTGTGTACCTGTGTGCCAGCAAATGTTGGCTACACACAGTTTAATGTGTCGCCCGTGTGCTCAATGTTGTGGTTTTTATGGGTAATATATTCATTGGTCGACACAGCATTTGATACAATGTCTGTTTGGGCCGTAGTCTCCCGTGCTTACACACAGCATAGCACAGCATAAATTCATCGATCTAAGTTTCCATGCTAGTTTCTTGTTTCATTACAATGATAGAGTTGGTGTTTTTTTTTGGTTAGCTTCAAAGCACAACTTTGAAAATCGAGCGCAATGCCTTCGTTGGCCGATGTGCCGTGTATATGTATGTCTTTCACCAGAGACCAACTGTACCAACGGCACGTGAGAGCGACAAAGAACGACCAAGAGCATGAGCAAGCAACGCTTTTGTATAATATTCTTATGCGGTTTCCAGTGTGGTTGTGTGTGTATGCTAGCAACAAATGTTTTGTTACCTCTTTTACGCCATTGGCATATGTGTGTTTGAGTTCAATACACAAAACCGGTTTAATGTTTGCCTGCAAAAGAAAACTTATAATTTTTTTCATCGTCGTCATCGTCGTTGTCGAACAATGGAAAAAGTTTTCAGAGCGCTCTCTGTGCTTTGTTGTATTCTGAACTTTTTTTCGGTTCTTTTTCACTCTCGAACACCGCAAACACCAGCTCTTTGCAACACATGTACACACACACTCGCGACTGTTTCTGCTCATAATTCGATTGAAGCGAAGCTTCACCGTAGAATGCTCTTCGAGTGTGTATGCAGAATTGTGACTGTGGTCGTTTCTTTTTTTGGATTTGGTAAACGATTACACAAATAATAAACAACAGAATTATATGTACACACAGCGTTTGGTATGAAAAGAGAAAAAAAAACGAATTAAAAAACGGTTTTCGGTACACTGTTTGGCATCGACACTCAATATACGTATGTGTTTTTATAGGATGATTGGAGAAAGAAACGAAAGAAAAAATGAAATGTACAAAAATAATAAATGCTGCTTTTCATACCCAGAATTTTGAAGTCATGCATGGTTCAGCGTATGCGAACACAAAGAATATGGTTTTGTTTTTTTTCCCTCTTATCTTCGCTACGTACATATAGGTGGATTATGAAATACTAACTACATGATGATCGTTCGTGAGAGATGATCATTTTCTCTATAAAATGAAATTTTTCGTCTCTGTGAAACGATAGAGCAAAAGTGTCTATGTTTCGATTGAATGTTAGAATCACTGCAAGCGATAGTTGGACTCAAGATCGAGCCTAAAAAAGGGGTCATCATCATTACACTCGACTGCAATTTTCATTCGATTCAATGTTTTTGTTCTCCGGCTCGTACTTCCTCTTTTTCGACCAAATGCCTGTTTTCCTGCGGAAAGTTATTGCTAGCCGAGAAAAAAAAAACCAAAAGAGTTATACTTTTCATGTCGAGTCTAACCAACAAAACACTACGAGAAAAAAAACAACCCATCGGCTGACCACCAAGTGATTCGCAACGACGCAACCAATGCCCATTTGTCTTTTCATTCATAATTTATAAAATTCAATGGGAGTGGAACAATGGAAATACGGGGATTGGATTTGTTGCACATAACATTCTATTTAGCGAACGAGACAGAGAGCGACAAATATTATTGTAGTAATTTGCATGCCAAAGACGCCGTCGATATGTAATCAGTTTTTTCCCCTTTTATTCTGTTGCTTCATTTTCAATTAATAGACTGCAGAATATGCCAAATCGCACATAAATTATCGTCTGAAGAGACGGTTGTCATTATTTGCACAATCGATGTGTGTCGCGAGTGCAAACAAACCTTAAACCATTAAACAGTAAATGAAACGGACAAACGAGCGAGAGGAGAACGGAGAGTAGCCAGAGACACAAAGAACGAAAAAAAAGACTAACTAAAGAGAGACAGAAAAATAAAATACATTAGTAATCTCCAACCATGTCCCGTCACATAATTTTTCCGTTATGAGTTTTTTTTTCTTTTCTCTCTCCTTCTCGCTGACTCTGTCCATCCTACTGACCATATACGCAGCTCTGGAATCGGAACGATGCGCGTATTTGTTTCTATTTGCTCGCTTTCGCACACACACTCTTACACACTGTGTGTGTCCACCTTGCCACGCAGTGTGACTACATCAAATTCGTGGCACATATATTCCGTTTCGTGCTTGAATTCAACACTATATTACCGGTCATTTGTGATGAATAATAATAGCACGTTCGCATAACCGAAAAAAACAGAGTATGAACGCGGCGCATTCGCAGGATTGTGTGCTATGTGTTGTGTCACTCTTTCTGTCGATCCGCACAGCGCTCGTTTATCATGGGACTTACATGCATGCATAATATTGTTTTATGTTCTTTTGTTTCGTTCAATTTCGGTTTACTTCTGCGATGGGCTGCTTTGGCTCGTCCTATCTCTTTCTCGCTCTCCCTCGCTCGAAGCCGAAACCGATGAAATTGTGTATATGCACGCAATGTGGCGAATACACAATCGGCATGCCACTTTACCATTGAATCGAGAATTGTTTCTACCTTTGTAGCAAAAATATCAACAACAACAACAACAACAACAACAACAGCTAGCTACAACACAATTCACACTGCATATACATTTTGTGTGCGCTCTCATTGTGTGTGCGATACTGAACGCCATTGCGCTTTATAGTTTGCTTGTTTCTCTTTCGTGGAATTGTATGCATGGGATTTGGACATTGCGTGAAAAAAAATAAACAAATTTACGATTCTTTTTGCGAGTTTGCATGTTCGCTGCTGCCTCTTTTTCCATTTTATTTGCCATGCTGTAGTCAAAGTATGGTTTTTTTTACTCGCTGCTTCGTGCGCAGTATGGGAAAAATTTATTAACGCACTCTGGCAACAACAATGTAACCAATTGCAAGCCCAAATGAATGAAAAAAATAGCTACGATCTACACGGTGTTAACCGAAAAGACAATCATTTTGGCTGTAAATTTTCTTTCGTCGGTTGATTCAATGTAAAAAGGCAGCAGCAGCAGCAGCAGCAAGAGTCACAGGGAAAAAAGCGAGCGTTTTTCTCACAATGGTGTGCTGACTGAGTTGTGTGTCGATCAAGCGAAAACACTCTCAGCCTCAAAGGCAATAACATAGCAAACAAACAAATAAACAGTCAGGCTGTGCACCAAAACAACCAGGCAAATTTATATATATATACAGGGGAGAAATGAAAGAGGCGCAACAAAAACGCGTTTCCATATAATCTTTGTTTACAATGATGAAAAATCAAAATATTAATTACATTGCGCACTTTGACCGACCGAACAAACAACCGAGCGATAAAGAAAAAAAAAATCGGCAACAACAGCAATAACATAATAACTTGAATCAATGGCATGTTTGAGAGAGTTGGTTATGTATGCTCAGTATAGTTGTGCGCGCGCGAATTGACTGCCAAACTGAGACCACTTTTTGTTTATTGTTGGTGTTTTTGTTGTTGTTGTTGTTGAACTTCATTCGATCGATTCGGGATTTGGCTCCTAAGTCGACGAAAGGGAGAGAAACTGACGATTCTGAAGCCAACCACAAAACGGTTAGAAAAAGAGATGAATTAGTGAGTGTATTCGTTTGTTTACAGTACCAAAACCATCGACATTTCCAGAGTTTAAAGTTGTGTGCATGTGTTTTTTTTTTGTTGTTCTTCAACCGCACCCAAATTTTGTTCCACTTCGCGTATTACACACGTATTCTCTCAGTCGATGCTAGAGTTGGATCGGTGCTGAATGTGTGTTCAAAATTTATTATATCAATACACAAAGCCACAAAGAGCACGATGCATAGAGCGCGGTGCTGCGGTCACAATATTCCATGTCAAATGTGTGTACCCAAGTGGCTGTGTGCGCGCGAGCCAGCTATAGCCCAAGCAAACGACTTGAACGAATGAATAAGCGGCTTGTTGCTGCCACTGGTTTGAAGCGAGTGATTTTCAATACACACAACACGCTGAGCCATCACCATCGTACACAACAGGTGATTAGAAACGTAATCTAGCAGTGGACGGTTTGGTTTTTCTTCGCTACCATTACTTCTTCTTCGTCGTCGTCATCGTGCGGCTTCGAGTGCAAGGCACTTCTTTTCAAATTGATCATTAGTGCTGCTGTTTCTATGCTGTGGCTATGTATACAGCGTACAGAGACTTTGGCCTATGTGCATTTAAGTCAAGTTTGCGTCGTGAGTGAGCTCCGTTGTCGAGTGCAGAAGGTGCGAGTTTTATGATTACTTTACGTTTTACATTGAAATTGTATTCGTTTGCGGTCAACGAGCCCTATGCACTACTTGCAACAGTCCCTTCACACACATAACAAATGCACACGATTGTGTATTTCTTTCTCGTTATTGTTTTCTTATATTCGTTCAATGTTTTAGCGTTGGTACGAGAGATATTTTCGAGAAAACAATAGCGCGTTGCATTTACATGATCATTTTTATTATTTTTTTCTGTTCTCCAGAAGATCAAGTGCCCAATAAACTTATTTATTGTCATGCCTAGAAAACATTACGGGGCCATACCTACATTTTGATGTTGAAATCACCCAAAAGAGTGGCGTTTTTATTATTATATTCATTTTCCATTGGGGAAAAAATTGTTGTTTGTTCTATACACACACACACACGCAGACAATCGTCCCAAATTCATCTTGACCGTATGCCCATCTATGGTCGTACATAAAAAAAAATCTTAGAAAGAACAAAAACGAATCTTTTTCCAATACACCCAACATGTTAATTATAATGATTTCGGTTCTTGAGTGCGATGTGTTCGTTCTTCTTTTTTCTTCATCTCTTCTTTCGTTTTGTCTATTTTGCTCTTTGTTTGGTCTTGCATCATTCTCACTGTGCGCGCGCTCTCCGCTCTGCTCTGCCTGAATCATCATTTCATATTTATACCGTTGATACAAGAGATGATTGTGTCAGTGGTTGTTGTTGTTGTTGTATTCCCATTTTAAGGTACGATCGATGTTTTTCCTTTCGCATTTGATTAGTTCGAAAGGCCATAAATGTGTTAAAGCTGATTTTCTCTCAAACCTATGGGTTATCGCTATCTTTTGCTATAAGAATAGAGCGAGATAGATCATTTTTACCATTTCAGGCATATGTTTCGTGTGTGTGCGATACACGAAACAATATTTGCCGCTGTTGAAGGTGCGCACAACTACGTGCACACACATTCAATTCTTAAATGCTGAAAAAGCGCAGAAAACCAGTTTATTGTTGATGTTTTAGTTGTTTTTCTTCTCTTCTCATCTCTGTAAAGAAGAGTCACTCTTGCGCTTCTCGCGGCAACGCGCAAGAATCGGTTTGAATTTGAAAATTCTCGACGGAAAGCTTCCAACGAACTCTCGTCATTTCACATCATATTGGATTCGTGTGAATGTTGCACATTCAAAGTGGTTCAATCATCAACAAGCACACTGCAATACAACGCGACTCATTCGCTTGCACACAAAAACGCTCGCACACACATACAGTGCCACAGCCCGCATGTGTCTCTCCAATATCCAAAGACAAGTTGAATGGTTATGTTACTAAGCAACTTTACGCTCTGTGTATACCGCATATAGTCATACTACACTGTGTGCCGCGCTTAGCGCTCTCTTTTTTCACTTCGCTCTCCATCTGTGTGTATATGTGGGAATGTGTGTTGCATGCACGTTCACTCCAACCGCCCTATTCGTGTACTGTTGATCGTAGTCTTGTCGTGTATCTCGAGCAGTTCGAATCGTTTCGAAAAAGAAAGCGGTTAAATAATCAAAGACGAGAGAAAAAAAAAGCGTATAACCAACCGACCAACAAGAGAATAAAACCGAACACGAAGAAAACAAAATTCAAATCTTCTGTTCTTGTGTGTATTGAAGAAAAAGACGGTTAGCTCTTTTGAGTGAGTGAGTGGTGTTAAGGTGCGTTCTTGTGCCATTGTTTTAAATACGATTTTTTTTCTTCTGTTGTTGAATTCATCATTCTTTCGCTGTATTCTCTTCATACGGAATTTTTTTTCTGTTGATTTGGTGCGTTGAATTTGCGCGCGACGTAATTTTATACAAAAAAAAAGAAAGCCGAAACGATAAGAGGAAATAGACACTCAAATTTTGTTCTTTTCTTCGGGATTCATTCCGTCGATCTTTTTTTTGTCTTCATTTTCTACGACCGCGATTTTTTTTTCCGTTTCAAAAAAGTGTGTAGTTTTTTCCGTTAATTTCTTTTTGGTTGTAAAAAAAAGTGTTCAGATTTACTTTTCTCATAATTTTGCCTTACCGCGACATTTCGAATTGACCACATCACGTCATTATATCCATTCTGCGGCGCAATGAAGTGGACGCTTTGACTTGATATATATATATATGTGTGTACCTGTGTGAACGAAAGTCCGAACGACTCTTTTTGGTTGAACTATTTATAACCTGTTTTAGTATATTTCTGTATATTTTTTTTGCTGGTGAATACGAAAAAAATACCATCACAATCCCATTTGGATTACAGTGAAAAGTTTTACTAGTGTTTTGTGGAAGCTTGCTCTCGCGCAAAAAAAAAGTAAGAAGAAGAAAGAAATACACGATCGATGCGCAAAAGATACGAGGCAAAGAGAAATCCGAAAAAAAGACGAAGAAAAAAAATCAACAACAATTCGAACGTTACACATATTTACCTTTTTTTCAACATATATCTTTTGAAGAAATTCATGCAAATACGCTACCAAAGCCTCCAGTCAACGGAAAGAAAGCCCGCCGAAAAATTCCGCGAACGAAAAACGAAGGAAAGAAAGAGAGCGAAAGAAAGAATACGACATTAATAGACAGAAATGTGTGTTTAAGCTTTCCATACGCGACATTTTTTTTTATTTAATCAACGAAAAAAAAATTTAACAACGTGTGTGTGTTTATAATAGTAAAAAAAAAGAAATTTCTGTGGCCCATCAACAAAGTCATCCAATTTGCAAAATCTCTTTTTTTCCAACCAATTTACAACCGCAGCATATATGTTTTTTCCATTTTTAGCAACAAAATTTTAATTTCCATTTTTTTTCTCTTCTTCTCTCTTACATCAAATAATTTTGCCAACGGATTTGTGTTTAGTTAAAAAACGATAAAACCGAGTAAAATATAGAAAAAAAACTAAAAATGGAAAGTATACCGGGAGTGAAACAATTGGTGTACCTGTGTTTGTTTGCCATTTTGTCAACAGGTAATTTAAAACATTTCAAATTTAGCGTGTTACAAATTCGCATTATCCCTTGGCCATTGGCTTGGATTTGCTAGTTGTTTATATTTTATTTTTTCATCATAATCATCGTCATCGCGGTCGTTCAAATCCACAAATATGACCAAACATAAATAATGCATTTTCAAATTATGTAAAACTAATTGGACATGGAACCGTGGCAAAAGTAACAAATAACGAAGCAGAAGAAAAAAAAATTATTGCCATAAAATGAAACACGACAAAATGTTCCGAGTATATGAAAAGTGGTTTTGCGCGATTATTATGCTGTTCGAACATGGATAAATGCATGCATACGGATTACGGTGCCTCGTTTGTTCGGTTCGTTCGGTTTGACTCGGTGAATGGGCACGTTTAGCGCGTTGCCGCTATATTCAGATTGAGAGAATGAGAATACGGTTTTGGGCAAGTGTGTTTAGCACGACTAGCATGAATAATCGGACCTTGGAGACCAATTTCAATATATATATGTATATGCAAAAACCCGTTATTCGCATGAATCACACAACATTGTTGTGTTTTTATGTTGTTGTATTTGTTTTTATTGGTTGTCGACTGAAATCCAATCGGAATGCTAAAATCAATTCGGTTCATTCATGTCGTTCGAGATGATTTGTATACGAGATGAGTGCGTATGACTCATACTTCACTTACATGCCGATCACTTCCTTTGTTTGATGAAATTGCGCGAAAAAATGTCGATGATTAACTGAATAAGTCACATAAACAATCTCAAACGGATGACCAAATCAAACAGAACAACTCTGTGTGACACATGCATGATGAATATAATTGAATCAATCGAGATTATGTTTGTGATTCAATATTATTATTTTTTGCCACTTTATCAAGATTCCTTACATCTTGGTGTTTACGTTCAAATGGTTCGTTGTTTATATTTATGATACGATTTTTCCGTTTTGTAATTGGACACAAAATGATTACGGTGACTGCATTCCGATGACGATTTCAAAACAATTTCCATTCGCGTTGTCGCTTGCAATCGATTTAATCACTCGACCCGGGTTGATTATAATTCAAGTCGCAGCACCACAGCAGAATTTCAGTGCATTTTGCTCTCTTTGTGTGTTTGTGTTTAAATCTCTTTGACTGCAAATACCGCGCGTACGTTGGAATGAGTGTGTCTTATGATTGGCGGGGAATGGTTTTCTTAAACAAAACCGCTGACATCAGCGAAAAATTAATTAAAAAGCAAAGCAAAGCAAAAACGGCGACGCAAAATATCTAAACACAAGACACATAAATGGCAAATAACAACAACCGCCACTTCGATAAAAAGAAGAAGAAGAAGCAAGCAACAACAGCGAATGAAAGAAAAGACAAACTGAATCCTGCACACGAATGTGCAGACATTTGTGTTTCCCTTAACAATCTCTCTCTCTCTCTCTCGATCGGTGTGTGATGATGAAGAAATGTGAGCGGTTGTGATAAATCGACTGACTGACGAACCAACCGAACGAACGAACGACCGAAAACAAAAAGTTTTAATTTTCAACAATAGTTCGATGTAGTTAATTCTTATTATTTTCTTTTGCTTGGGCTGCTGACATTGCTGTTTATTACGTTTTGCTAGCACTTAAGTCTCTATCTCCGTGTGTGTCTCTAACTCTCTGCCGTTTGATTCCACGCTGCTCGCGGTGCTCGTATCTCCATTTACATTGTGTGCATGCATTCGCTTCTTTTCTTCGAGCTCTACTTGAGTTTGAATTTCAACGAAACGAGAAGAGAAGAGAGAGAAAAAAAAACTAACACACAAATTTAAATATCATTTATCTCGAGTCATCAAATCATGCTTGCATCATATTTCTACTTTAATAGGAAAACAATTTCAGTACATTGTTAAGAAGAGTGCGATTGCGCGAACAAGCCGTTGTTGCATACGTAACTATGAATTATGTACGAATGTACTTGGTTGTAAATTAAATGGTGCGTCATGCACACACGACGTGAAGCGCAGCAGAGAGTAGGCTGAAAGCGTTGATATGAAGTGAGTGCATATGTGTGAGAGCTTCGAGCGAGCGAGTAAGAGATAGAAATGCAGAATGAAAGAAAAAACGGAGCACTTATTTGATCACAGAGCGAAGAAGCTTGCATTCGTAATGCAAGTGTATGAATTAGATTACGTTTTCGACTCACCGCGTCTCCGGAATGCATTCGATCCACACTCGAATCGAATTCGTGCGAAGAAAAGTAGGCTCGGCTCCATAATAACGAGAAAAAAAAATGAAAACAACAACAACACAAATAGCGAGAGAAGGAAGCGCGTAACATGAAGAATTGAAATAACCAAAAGATGAAGATTAATGCCGGTGTAATGATGAGCCTCACTCGTTCAAACATCAAACTCCAAACTGAATAGATCAAATTACACGATCGGGCGTGTGTATGTGTGATCGAATGCGGTCGAAACAAACAGAGAAAAAACCGTGTGTTGATCTTCCGAAATTTCTTTCACCTTAATCGAATCAATGATCATCATCGACATAATTTCCTCCGCGTGTTGTTGTTTTTTTCTCCATCAACATCTTTTCAAGGCAATAAACTCTTCGACCAAATTTAAATGCATTTTTTTAGTGGTCTCTAATTAAACTATCGATCAATTGTATATGCATTTTTGTTTTCTTTCCACGAAAAAAAAATGAGACATTTTACGATCGATACTGGATTTTATCGGTTTTTATTGTTATTAAATGAATTCAAATAACTGGTTAGGTGGCTCCAGCCTCACGATTCCAATTCTATTTCGATGCGGTAAAACATTTGCCAGCTTTCTTTGCCGCACGAAAGAAAACCGAGCATAAATATTTCGATTAGTACGTAAAATCGTTTTCACCGAACCGTTGCTTCATGTGTTCCTGTACGATCGACCGAAAAGATTCATCGGTTGGTCGATTCTCTCAACCTTGACGTGTGTTGTACTCAAAAAGTCTTTATGTAGACTTTATTCTCATTTCTTATTTTCGTTTCTTTTCCTTCATTTCTTGCCTTTCATTCTTCCATTTGGCCATTTATTTTCTCTTTTTGATTCATTTGAAATAACGATTTTTATGACATTTTTCACGTTCATTTGGTAAACCCAGAATTGGAAGGCAAGACAAAGACAGAAGTAGCGAGAGAGAGAGAGAAAGAGAGGGAAAAAGAAAGAATTTCCGGAATATATTGAGGTTCCCCCGGACAAATGCGCGCCGTCATTTTGACTTTAATGCGGTGTAGCCAGCGATCGTGTGCTTTGAAAATGACCGAGCAGCTGTAATTACAGTCTATACGTACAAATACAGAATAATCCACTTGAGAAATGCTCGAAATACGTGCACAGGAACACTCACAATTTATTCACTTTGATTGAACTGGTCGCGAAGACGGCTGTGACTGTGGCGGTTGCGGCAACAACAACCACTACAACAGCAGCACCACGCCAGAGAGTAAAAATACAAATTAAGCCAGACTTGGAACACACCAAGACAATCTGTGATATTTTGAGAAAATTATAGCGAAAACGGCCCACTCTCTCTAATTGATAACAATTTTCTACTCTCAAACGGCGACTTTCCTACAACATTGTGCCCTTGCTCTTGCTCTTGCTCTTGATTTTGATCGCCCAAACTCGAACACATGAGAGAAGAAATACACACACAAAGAGAGAAAAAAAACGCATAAACACAACAAATCAACGAAAATTATTGTCATTTAAAGTGTGGTCGCGCGAGCCATCAATTGTCCAGCCTGCAATTGCGGCAAAACAATTTCGAGAGGAAATGAATGGAAATGGCAATCATCTGATGTGTAATGAATTACTTATTCAGCGCGCATCATTTGATTTTCATTGGATTTCATCTCTTGATGAATGCCATTCAGTTTCACACAGTCGCATTGTCTGTCTATCTCGTTTGTACCAGCAAACTCTGAATCGGCCGCCAATCGGTGTATCGAGTCTCGTCTGGCTATCGTAAATTACTTTAAACCCATCGAATAGCGAGTGCTTATGCAAATGTGTAATCGAAATATATACACACGGTTCATTCCACAACCACATATACATATCCTATCCATTCGGTGAGACCATTTGGATTGTCGTAATTTATTAGTCTTGTACATTTTCCATCGAAAATTGAATGAAGCGCTTGTAATAATGTGGCGGTGTGTTGCGGCACAATAGATGCGAAAATTAATTGGCTATAAGCTGTGTGGCTCATTGTTTCAACATGGATACATACACTAAAAATAGAAGAGAACGAGCGAGAAAAAAATGGACATTTGACCAACAATTGACCCTCGTCCGTAATTAATAGAAAACCTTATGCGCAAAATTTGTATTTTTCCCGCGAGACGAATAACATAGACAAAAAAAACACAATCCGATACACGAGCACACAAAAAAAAAATCGCAATCCAACCGATGGATGAAATGAGGTATGACCGAAACTGTGCTTGACCATGAAATTTTAGAAAGTAAAAATGTTCGGCGTATCCCAAAAGTCGAAAATTCGGGCGGCAGGCATATCATTCACGCTATGCCAAGAATCGCATTGCAGCTCTCGATGGTTTTCGATTTCAGCGCCATAACTCTCTATTATTTCAATAGCCATCAATGTGCGTTGTCATGACAAATAAACGATTATTTCCAGTGTTTTATCCTCTCTGCTCACACTTTCCGCTGTAACGGGAGACGTTGGTCACTTCACACTGTGGTGATGCTATGGTCTATTTTCAATCGTGTCTCATCATCATCATTGGTGATTCCGTTCCGATTTGAATCAGCGTTTTCTATTGTTCATTTCTTCTCTCATCGTAAAATGTCTCGAGTCCGTCAGCTTGGTCACTCTGCGTGTAAAGATTTGCACATGCAAATCACGAAATTGAATGAGAGAAAATATAAAGCCGAACCAAGACACACAGCGCTCGCACGACACTCACCAGCGAGAAAGACGAAAGCGATGGCAAAACCGAGAAATGGTAAAAGCAGCCATTTGTGAAAATTACAACGAACGGAATCGATATGAAAGTAGTCATCAGCAGGCCAGCGACTTGTATGTCTCTCAGCTGTCGTTCTCTCTCTCTTTCTCCCGCCTCTGTATATATATATATATATAGCTTTATTATTTTGATTTATTAATATTTGCTCCGTGTACATCATGTGGTCGGTGAGTTTCAAGTTGTTGCCGATTTTGCTTTGGTCATTTTCAATTCACGATTGCTGTTTTGTTGTGCCTCTTGCGTCTGTCGCCGTTTTCAGCAGAAACCGATTTCTGTCTTTTGTTTTCATTTTATCTGTCTCGAACATGCCATAGCCATTTTGCTAACCATACATATTTAGCCGATCTCGCCATAGACAGAGCTCACACACACACACACACACACACACACACACATATATATATATATATATATATATATACTCATACAATGAGAGGTTCGGTTTGGTAAAGAATGAGATCAAAAAGGAGACACACGCTATTGTATTCCGCTTAAAAGGAGGTCAGAAGATAATTTAGATTTAGAATGGTGATACACAGACACACAATGCAAATACTCAACTCTTTGGAATATGTTAATTACGAGTGCAGTTTTGCAGAAAAAAAATACAAATTTACGTTTGTTCGTGTATTTTATGGCCGCGGAGAAACGAAGAGAAATTCAATTAAGCTGATATTTAAGAATAAAAACAGAAAATCCACTGTCCGATTCATTGCTCTCTTTCGTATGCGATTGTAAATGCGGACGTTAATTTTCATAACACCGTAGAGCTTCCCTCTGTGTATGTGTGTATGGAAGAGCGGTGCGCAGCTCAGTTCAACGGTCATCAACTTGTTCGCCGTTGTCGAAATAAGCCAACCGTCACAAAATTCATTTTTATTAAGCACCAATAAAAATCTGGCGCTGATTCGAGCGTTTTATTTGGATCGAAAACACCGGCAATACAATGAAACAACGAAACAACGAAACCGAATACCCCGTTCTCATTTGAAATGCACGAATAATTTTGCATCTTTACACGAAATTAGACACATTCAGGGAAAATTTATGTGCATTGAAAACGGTCATAAAAACTGAAACGAAAAGCGAATAGGTGGGAGGCCAACAAAGGGAAAAGTAACACTTTCAAATGTACAAACATAATATTCACTTAATAATAATTCATGCTGTAAATAAGTTGTTTGTTAGCGGGGACCGATCGCGGGCGCACATGTGTTTTTTCCAGCCCGACTTCTCTAAGTTTCTCTCTTTTGCGTTCGCTCTCCCATTCTCGTGTTCGCGTTTATATTCTCGCGATGGGGGCGATTTTGATGCGTGTGAATGTGTTTTTCATTCTATTTATTCATCTAATGCACAAAGCACATTAGGTAATTTGCCTGACAGCACATTCATTACGATGTGTCTTGCGAGTCATTCATGCACATACGTGCCGCGTTGCCATCGCTATAGCTGTTGCTATCCGAAAAAAGGGTGCGTTTAAATAGCTAACACCGTTTTCACGTTGTCTCTTAATAATCACAAATTTGTAGTTAATTGTTCGTCAGGAAGAGAAGAGGAGCGAAAAAAAATAATATAAAACGCATGAAATGAACCTGAACGTATGCACACGTTCGTCATGTTTCTTCTATCACATTTTTTCGTTCGAAAAACCGAAGAATAAAAAACACATAAAAATGCGGTTGGTATTGCCTAAATGAGAGCGACAATTTCGAGCTGGCTCTGGTGACCGGTTGGGCAAGAATATGCGTGCACATGCAAAATAATAAACAACATTAAAATATATGTTGAAAATGTATGACGCGCTCTGTCTGTGTAGTGTGGCGTAAGAATTTAATTACAATTAGAATAAAAGTATGCGCATGTGAGTTGGGCTGTGTGCATTAGATATACGTGTAACACACATTTCAAGAGACGCACATTGTTAGTGCCGCATGGTGGACATTAAAAACCGGCAAACGATTTTTTTTTCGGGCGTATACATGTTACATTTCCAGCCCGAGTGCTATGCCGTCTATTTCACAAATATTTCGAAATGAGTTCCAATAGTTTTGCATATGAATGTAGTTGGGTTACATTGTTAGATCGTGTTTTTTTTCCTGACTACAAATGGCAGAAGAGCAGACATAAAATGTCTCATTTGGCTCGATGTCGAGAAATATGTTGACAAAAAATGCATTAATGAATTTCGGACACACCAAATTCTATAAACCCCAACAATGACTATCAATAGTCAAGCATTAGAAAAATAGAGCTTGTTTGAATGCGAAATGATGGAATCATTTGTCATTGTGCACAAGTTTTGCTACCTACCCAAAAAAGGAGAAACAAATGTGTATACTCTTACTAATGAGTTCCACCGCAATACCTGAAACGTAATGACAACGCATTGACTCACGCAATCATTTCGACCAAACAAAAATTGTGTTTTTTTTAATCACTTCCGAATAAAAGCGACTCGACATAAAAAAAAATTAGAGAGAAATTACAAACACCGAAGTTTTCTCATTACATCGAAATTGACTCGTAATCGTTGTGAGTTTTCATTGGAAAATTATTTGTGTATATGTGTTTGCGTCTCACGATTTTTTCCAGGAGATATGGGGATTAACATAATTACCGCCGTGACCGGTTGTCGGTGGTCCTTCATGCAAGTCCCATTTTGGAATCCATTGAATGGAAAAATGCACAAAGCCAAATGATAAAAGTCAACAGCACACAACTCGGACATAGAAAGAATTTAAAAAAAAAACTGCTCCGAAAATTTTAACCTATTCACTTTGTTTCGTTCTCTTTTTTTTGTCGTGTCTATGCATATGATTGACACTCAAAACTCCCAGATATGGCGTTGGCTTTTGTGCCACGCTCATTACCTATTTCACATCGAATTGTTTGTTTTTAATTCAATTCTCGTCAGTTTGAAATGCGTTTGAAAAAAAAGAAACACTCACAAATGACCTTTTTTCCCGTGTCGTTTCGGTTTATTTGTGGATTTGACGAATCAAGTTTGAATGAAAAAAAATAAAATGTATTTATTTGCATCATAGACGGTTTATAATTAATAAGCCTTTTTTTACAAACGGTTTCTCGTTTTTTTTTCTTCTTTCGATTTCATTTTACATTGTTTGCATCAATGGGTTTACAATATTTGCGTATCATTTTCAGATCTCTTATTAGTTCATGGCCAATCGGTTGAAGTGTATCCGAAAAATGTAACGGCGGCCGAAGGACAAAATGCCACGCTGTTGTGTCGAACCAGCAGCCCTCTGCAGTACTGTCGGTAAGTGTTTGCTTCAATTTGTCAGCGAGTTAAATGTTTGTGTGTGTGCAAACAGAAGAGAAAGAGAAAAAACAACAACATAAAAACAAGCCAAAGAAGAATGTGTTTTTTTTAGATTATTTACGCTTAAGTAGACATGAATTTGATGAACGTACAATCCATTTAACTCCAAAGTGCATTACATGATACATGAAACACAAACACTCACAACTTTACCATATCTCGCTAGATTTATCTCTTTTCACATGAATAAATACACCGATTCTTCTTTACCGGTTGCATCATGCGCAAATGATTTCCACGTACGTGCGAGAGATGAGAGCGCAACCGAGTAGTTTTCGGTCGCCGCCGTCGTCGCCGTCGTTGTCGATGTTGTTGTTCGCATCTTAACCGTTTTATGGCGAGAGATGAAGCAACAGCCAGCAATAAGCAACAGTGAAATATTTACCAATTTCATGCCATCCGACGCTAACTGCTGTTTAGATACACACGTGTACTGTACCACTGCTGTTTGGTCTTTACACTCACACTACTGCGCAAATTACTTAAATCCACAAAGAATTTCCATAATTCCATTTCATAGTGGAATATTTAAGCGAATTAACACAAAGGAATTGAAATGAAAATCGAGGAAGACAAAAACAAAACGAGCGGTTCTTTATTCACAGCCGAATGGTTCATCGTACTGTGGTCAATAAACGGTCACCATACAATGTTTACGCTAATGCTCAGTTATGAGTCAACTTAATCCAGTGATCTCTCTTTTCCAACTCATTTTTTTTCCGTTGTTGTTTCCATTTTTTATTAGAATTTATCAAAATGCATCTTCGATTCGAAACAAACGAACGAACGAACGAACGAAGAAAGGAGAAAAAACCCATTTTAATTCTTTGTGTTGCACTACGGCGCAGAGGCTAATGTGCAACGATGCCACAAATAAATGAGGTAATTCGATTGCACGACGAATGAGAATAAGATGAAAAGTTCATTTCACTGGATTATTGTGTATCGAAAGAACCAAAAACGCGTTCATCAACTCATCAGGTGTCAATGAACCTTCTTTTGCTCTCGTCTCTCTCCATCTCTCGCGCTCGCTCTCAACAGCATTATTTCTTCACAGTTCCAATGGTTTTTTCTTCGTCTATTCTATGTTTTCCATCTAGCTGCTTCATTGGATGGTCTTTCCTTTAATTTTCGGTTGATTCTATTTTTATAAACCATCTCGTATGGAATAACATTGTAGCCGGTCGCATTGTTGATGGTGGAACCGTTTGCTCACACCGTCACATGCATATGGGATGTACCTCGTGCTTCTTCTATTCTACCGAATTTAAATTGGAATAGAAGAGTGAGAGAGAGAGAGATAGAAAAATACGAGTGGCCTAACATTCAGTTCAAATAAAACGCTGACTCGACGGACTAGAACCGAAAAAACAACCGATAGAACAATTTAATCTCTCTTCGTTTTCTCTCTCTTTTTCAACATCAGTGTTTTTTTTCCTACGTTGTATCGTTAAGACCGTAAATATTATGTTGCGTTTGATGAGCACATATTTTATGTTTGCGTCTAGTTATTTTTTTCGTTGTTCGTTCAACCTTTCGGGCTCAAAATAAAATAATAAATAATGAATAAATAAAAAAAGAGTAAAGCCTAAAAAATATTGCTATGAAATGCGAAGCTGTATGACGCATAAAATGCGCCTGACCGAAGCCTCTGAAAAATGAATGCATTTTCGAAGCGTATACATTCAGAGCGCGCTGTGGCGTCTTTTCTTTCAGCCTTTTTTTCTCTGTATTGTTGGTGTTGTTGTATTTCGCCTGCCACATGTATATACAGTGCAACAAGCGATACACAACAAAATGACAAAGGTACAAAGAACTCGGTGCTGGCCATGTCGGAACCGACCAACAGAGCCATAAAAGAATTGTACAATGATTTTCACACACGCATCATATACAGCAACAACAACACTGTTTCGTGTCTATTCTTATTCGGTTGGGTCGTTGTATTTCGTGTATACTCTGGATGTTGCATGTGACGGCGTTGACGGTGTGCTGTGTGCTGTGTGTGTGTGTATTTGAGTAGTGCTTGAAATGTTAAGGTCCAGTGATTTGGATTGATGTAACACCTGTTTTAGATTTATACGTATTTGTTTTCACAAAGTTTTTTTTCGTTCGTTTTTTTATTATCTCCTTTTTTTGTCGAATTCAATGGAAATGCATTTTTATTTATCTATATTTTGATGTATCATTTTTCGCCCTTTTCAAATCCTTCGGTCTAATTTTAAGTACACACGCACCATTTCTAACGAATTTTGTGCCGACATACACAAAAAAAAAACAGAGCCCATAATAATATTTTTTTTGACAGGAAATCATAATCTCCGAAATATATTCACCCTTATTATAGTAAAGTCGACTTCATGTTTTAAATTGGTTTTCTATTTTGTTTTCTAGATTCGAAATACCGGGCGAGAGCGCAATCCGACTGTCCGACAAATATGAATCCAAATTTCCCGGCTTCAAATACTTTGGCGATGGTTTGGAACAGGGTGTCTGCGGTGTGGCCATTCAAAATGTGAAAACTATAAACAATGGACCAGTCAAGTGCATCTTGGGTTTGGATCAGATTGATATTGAGGGGTTAATCGATTTGGTTGTTGCATGTAAGTAGACAGAACACCGTTTTTCCATTTCAAATTTACATGAACGAATCAAATGGAAAGGATTGAGATTTCATTTTCAATTGCCATCTGATGGGAAATTTTATAGCCATAAATATGAAGTACAATGTATGCGCGGCACACAATGTATACAGCTCATTGCCATCCGAAAATACATATTGAAAAATAAGCGATAGAGAGAGAGAGAGAGAGAGAGAGAGAGAGAGAGAGAGAGA